TTTTTGGTACCGGGGATTGAACTTGTATCCTTGCGCTTGCAAGGCAGGCCACCGAACCGCTGAGCTAAATCCCTGGCCCTATAGTTCCAAAATTTGGACATTTCTATGTCTGATCCCGTTGACTCCTTTCTCAGTGATGGCTTATATTTTCTTTGTATTTTCTATGCATCTCTTTTTTAAAAATTTGAATTTTGGATATTGTATGTAAAAGAATGGCAGGTCAGTAGTATGTATGTTCTAAACCAGGTCTCTCTGTTCCATCAGGCCATTAGTGTTGGGGGTTGAGTCAGTCTAGTCAGAAATTGGGCTGACTTTGTTTTTTTGTTGTAGTTACTGATATTTCCAGGCCATCATTGGACTTCACTTGGTTATGAGTGATAGATTGCTATTAGCTTGAGCTTTGTATGGGATATGGTGTGCCAGAGTCACTATTCCTAGTATTCCTGTTCCATCATTCTCTTTAAACACATTTTAGACTCCTGAGCCACAGAGTGGCTTTCAGTTCCCTTGGTGCTCCCCCACTGGTAGACTACTATTTCTTGTTTGTTATTCAATGTAAGGCCCCTAGTGGGAGCTGAAGAATTTATTGGTTCTCCTGTTCCAGTCTTAATATTAGGTAGGCTGTATGTATCCGAACCCCAGGGTGGAACTTGCTCAATATTCTCACTCTCACTCCCCGTGGTAGTCAAGTCCTTGATACAAATGGCTTTCCTGTCCCATCTTCTGAATCAGGGTTACTTTTGTTTCTGTTACCCAGACCCCCCCAGCAATAGAGACATTTTCCTGAAACCATGCCAGGGAGTGTTTCCTGCCTTTCTCCTACAATTATTTTTCTTCTGCATAGATTGTGGTTTTGTTGTAAGCAGCATAAGTGTTTATGTAAGTAGGGAAGGAAAGATCCAACAAAACAAAATATTATTTACAAATTAGTTCAATTACTGATGCTGTTGCTCTTGGCTACTCATTAAGTTTGGCAAAGAAAATAAAACTGTTCCTGAATAGGTCTTACAAAGCAAATATTATATGAATATTCGTAAGTTGCAAGATATTAATAACTGTTATTGTAAATCCCCATCAGATGGTTCATAAGTGCCGAACACTTTGCTTAATGCTTTACTTATGTCATCATTTCGCTCTCACATCAATCCTCTGAGGTAGTTGGAGTCATTTAAGACACTCACCCAAGGTCATATAGTTAAGTAGCAGAGCTGGGAAATGAAATGAGGTTAAAAAAAATCCAAGCTTTTAACTAGTATGATTTACTCCCTACATTATTAAATTATTCATGATTTCTTCTCTTGGGTTTTTCCTCGACATGAGCTGATAGGAAGTAATTTCTCATTGCTGTATTAATTGATTCTTCTAATAGCAGGTGAATTGTTAGAAACTACCTATAGAAAATTATTTTTCAAATATAATGAGAAAAATTGATGACTCTTTAATTGACTGAGGTTTTCTATGCACTAAAAGAACTGGCACTCAACAGTCATAGCTATTGTCACATGGTAGGCAAAGTATTTTGAAATATGCACAGTGCAAAATGGGAGTGTAGCAGTTCTGTGTTTGTGAAGTGCCTAACTTGTAAGAGGTAGATTTTCCTTGACTCATTTATGAAGTGATAGTGTACATTATCTTACCAAACATTAGTTCCAGAAACATCAGAGAGCCAATGAGTGTCAGAATTGTTTCTTATAGAGGTATAGAGGTAGAGGTCACTACTAAGGTAATTTGAAAGTATCCTATGTCATTGTGACCTTAATGAGGATTCTCAGTGTTAATATTTTCTCAATGAAAACATGGTATAGGATGCAGAGTTATTCTCAAAGCTGCAGAACTGGCTATGTTTCTTATTGTTGTTTTGACTTTAGCGAATGTTATAATAAGTACTTTGTTGGAACTTAAAATATTGCTATTTATTTTACTTTCCATTCTAGGTTGGTGATGTAGTAGAAGTACAGGCAGATGAAACCTTTCCCTGTGATCTTATTCTTCTATCATCCTGCACCATTGATGGAACCTGTTATGTCACTACAGCCAGTCTCGATGGAGAATCCAATTGCAAGGTAATAGAGACCAATCCTGGTCTGTGTTGAGCAAAGAATAATTATATAACACTGCTTCCTAACACTTCTAATCTCTTTATTTTTCCTGTTCATCTAAGTTTTGTATTTGAAAGCAGCTGTTATATAATTGTCTTTTTAACTTCTAAGGAAATACTCATCTTTGGGGAAAAGGATGATGTTGGGTCGGGAGAACACCATGCCCCAAATAAAAGCCACAGCAATTTTTATAAAAGTGCTGCTTGAATTTCATATTGATACATCCATTTAATATTCTATTTAGGCTTTTGTAAATGGAAGGAATTATAGGCCAAAACTTTATATATAAAGTATAAAAATAATTCCATGTACTCTAATATTAGTTTGTTTTTTAATTCTAAACATGATTTATATTTTAGTTAAAAAATGTTTATTCCTGGGTTATAAGAAATCTAACCTGGAGTAATCTGATTGCTTTTGTTTTTAGTATCTTAGGGTACAGTTTGGCAGATGTTTGCTTTATCAGAACTAGGAAGATTTTAAATGGCTTAAAGTAAATTTTATGAAAATGGGTGATAACTTACTTCCCTGCCACTTTCTGGTGCAGTCAGTTCTTGGCCTTCATCCAACAAACTCCCCAGGGCATGAAGATGCATTTCTCCCTGTGCTGTGTTTGAGCAGTAATACTCATGTGCTTACCTCAGGGTGTATTTTTGGAGGGCTTGTCTATTCGGTTCTTCCCTCTGGAGTTGAGGACTGGGGCTCAGTATTTCAGAAAGGAACTTTACCTGGTAGATGACTGATTCCATTTTTCTAGGACACTGTGAAGAGATAGTAGCATTCTTTTTTTTTTCTTTCTTTTTTTGTACCAGGGATTGAACTTGGGATCTTGTGCCTGCGAGGCAGGTGCTGGAACCACTAAGCTAAATTCCCAGCCTGAGATAGTAGCATTTAAATTGTTCAAAAACAGAGTTATATTTTAGGGAATGTCAAGATAAAATCAAGAAATCTACCTAATGATTTCCTAATAGTGAAAAAGTGCTTATAAGAAGATAACTTTCAGTAGTGTTTTTTTTTCTTTTTTATACTAAGTTAATCTGATCAAGCCAGTTTTTCAAAATCAGATGATAATTTTAAATATATCTCGAGCAGTTGTGTCTTATTCCCCAAAGACCCTGTCAACAGCATTTCCATCTGAAAAAACAGTGCACTCTTTGAGTCTGCATTAGCCCTTGTTGATTATTTATAAATGTTCATTGGATCTTGCCTTGAGTTTTGATTGAGTCAAGTGCACAGTGTATACTCATAGAATATTCTAACATAAGACACATCATGTTCCTGTATCCCATACAAACTATGGTAATATTTAGCATTTTCAAGCTCATTTATTAAGCTATTTGTGTAATAGAAGTATTAATAACTTTTCTTCTGTTGACAAAATTTTTGCATTATTTTGACCAAAAGGGTTATGTTCCATTCAAGTGTGTATCTCTGCATTGCCATACACTATAGTGAAAAAAAAGAGTGTCTCAGTTCTGTAAGTGGGAGAAAGAATAAATGTATTAAATTTTCATGGAGTTTTTCAATTATATGCGTGCTGAAAATGGAATACTCTCTGCTGTCAATATCAAGAGTAAACCTTAGTTGTTTTTCCTTTTTAAATTGATTTATTTTTTTGGTACTGGGGATTGAAATCGGTCCCTTGTGCTTGCGAGGCATGTGGCGGAACCACTGAGTTAAATCCCCAGCCCCAGTTGTTTTTCCTTTTAACTTTGAAATTTCTTCATAGTAAGGTCATCTTTCAAGTTATTTGTAATTTATGTTAAGAATGATACCGTATAACTTACTCAGTACGAAGTGTGCATCAGTATTTGTAGTATTCTGCCAAAGTGTCTTACTCAAACAGACTGTATTTCTGGAATCACTTGGGTGTACAGTTTTAAAAAGAAACACTTTTCTGTACATATTTGCTTTCTCTTCTGTGTTCATCTAGACACATTATGCAGTACGGGATACCATTGCACTGTGTACAGCTGAATCTATTGACAGGCTCCGAGCAGCAATTGAATGCGAACAGCCTCAACCTGACCTCTACAAGTAAGAATCACCTGGCTTCACTTTACTGCTATTTGTTACCACTCTCTTTTTGCCACCAGTATTGAAAAAAATGTAAAAACCACCCACCACTTACCAGCCTACTCTAGTGTATGTTTTTATGAGCTGTTCTTCCTGCTGGTAGAGAAATGATTCAGATCAGTCTTGTTCACTACCAGCCTAATATAAATCATTGTGGGCCCAGGCATCCTATGATTTTTATTTTTGTTACTTGAAAGCATGGCCATCTATCAAATTTTAAAATTATGCTATCCCATAAGGCTGTTCTATCAGACTCATGAAGTACACAAAGTTAATTAAAACACTAATAAGCCTTTTCATGCTATCCAACATTAAAAAGAGAAGATGATACAAGAGCATGCAATTAGGCACATTTTTTTACAGTGATCACAATGAACTGAGGATTGCAAATTGGCCACAGTAAACAGTTAAGTAGAAGGGGAAATAAAATATCTTTTGTTTTATTATACCAAAGCTGTCTGGAGTAGGTGTGCTGATTAACAGTCATTGTAGTTTGTTAAAACTTTAGCATTTGATTTTAAGACTGTTTAGTTGATTAGAACATGGTGCTAATCGGGGTATAGTAGTAGTTTTTATCCCCCACGTGGTTCAGTTTCATTCTCTTACACTGTTATAGATGGCACCAGTTGCCCAGGCCAGGCCTTTTGTTAATAATGCTGTTGATCATAATGGGGAACTGAGTGGATGGATGTGGTTTACACTAACACCCAACAGTGGGAAAACAAAGTTATTTATCATACTGTGAAAACAGGGTCTTCTTTTCTTTTCCCATAATTCCTTCTTTCCTCTTCTGTATTCACCTTGTCACTGGGAACTAAGGCCATAAAGTAAAACAGGTATCCTCTACCTTTGAGGAGCTCACAGTGAACGAGGAGATAAAACAGAAAAGCTGAGCTTATAGTACAGTAATGGGTGAGTATAAAGTCCAAGGGGTCCCAGAAGAGGAAGTGGTTTATTCTGCCTGTAAATTACAGAGCGGTATATGTACTCTTGCATATTCATAGGGAAACCCCAGGATCTTTTAGTTGTCCTACATATGAAGAACTTTAAAGCAAACAAAGTTATTCTTAATTCTCTAGACTAGATTGAATCTTTTATAATGTGACTTCAGAATACCTTGTACTTCTGCCACCCTAGTAATAATTCCTTGTGCTGTTTGTATTGTATTATTCACTTATCTTTTTTAGGGCAAGGTATATGTCTTTATTAGTGTATCTTCAGCACCTAGTATAGTGCTGGCATAATTAGTATATGATGAATGAAGTAGCAAGCCTTCATATTTTCTGTTTTCCTATAATGAAAACATTGTTCATGATGCAAATTACAGAACATTCATAACACTCTTGTTAAGGAGAGATTAGACCCTTTTTACTCTATTTTACAGAAGTGCAGATTACCATGTGCCCAGCCATATTAAGTGCCTGGGTCAAACTCACCACTGAGATCAGCTGCAGGACAGAGGCTGGACATTTTTCCAGATGGTAATCATGAGTTCATTGTCTTAAGATTAATGCTGTAGTTCAAAAGGCTAAACCTGGGACTGGCAGCATCAATATCACCTATGAGCTGCTTAAATCAGAAGTTCAAGGATGGGCCCCAGAAATTTGTGGTTTAATAAGTCCTCCAGTAATTATGATACATTCTCAGGTGTAAGAACTACTGAACTAACAGTTTTAAAATCTGTGTTTTAGCACTAGAAACCTCTCTTCACATGAACCCAAAGCAGAAGCCACATTATTTATTTATGTAAAGGTGAAAAGGAGAAGGGTATTGTGTGCATGCATAATGCCTAGTAGACTGTGAAAGTCAATTCAGAATCTTTGTTTGCATTGGTTTAATCCCTTTTATTTTAAAGATTAGATTAAAATGTTACGTACCTTATTGGCTCAGTGTAACTTTTCCGCTAGGATTTATTCTTCATTCAAAGTCTCATCTTTTTTTATTATTTGTATTCTGATTCAGTCTCATCAGTTGTATTTGGATTTCACTCGGATATAGAAAACATTGCTATTATGTTCTTTTTACAGGTTTGTTGGGCGAATCAATATCTATAGTAATAGTCTTGAAGCTGTTGCCAGGTTCGTTGATTATTCCTTTAACCTGTACTTTTGGGAGAGGGGGAAATATTTCTCTTAAACTCACCAAATAGGTAAATGTCTTTCCTTATAAAAAAGGATACAAAGCTGAATAAGTTACTAACCCTGTGATTGATAGGGTTGTGACATTAACATCTCTGTGTGTTAGGCAGAGGGGGTTGCTAAAATAATGCTTGGTGTTTCCAAAAGAGTGGCGTCCCAGACCCTTTGCATAGTAGTACTCCAGACCTACACTAGCCTCTGTGGTTATTGTCTTTAGTAGCTGTTCACAAGTTTGGAAATATGCTTGGAGAATGTTTATTGGAGAGTAACTGAGGGAGTAGGCAGTGGATAAACTGCTGGAAGAATTACTTGGACCTAATTAAAATGAAAGGCTGGTCATTTATCATGAGGTGATTCCTACAGAGAAGGGTGATTTTTTAACCAATTAATTGCCTCAACTTTTCAATTGGCCTTTATAGTCAAACTTTTAAAAACTTAAAATAGTAATTCACGATGCACAGTGATCCCCCAAAAGGTAGGTTTATGCTCTACAAAGATGTCTTTTATCTGTGACATTGTTTCTTGCTATCTGCCGTTCTGTCCTCTTCTTGTCTTACTATCTATGACTCATAATCCTTTGATTCCTCTGTGCATTTCTTTACCTCTGCGTGTTGCTGGCCACTCCTGATGTGCTTCCATCTGTGCTGTACCTTGAAGTCACTTCAGAGGGAGGGATCTTTCAGTTTGTCCTAGGGAGTAGGCATATGGCAGAAGTAGACAGATACATTCTGAAACCCTTGGAAATAGATGCGCGTCATGACAAAATCTGTCCCAAGAATTGATGATGCTATGCATTTTTTGGATAAGCTGTGCTCACTTTTTTAAATTTTTATTTAGATCTTTGGGACCTGAAAATCTCTTGCTGAAAGGAGCTACACTAAAAAATGCCAAGAAGATATATGGTGAATAGTTTTTAAGATATAAGAAATATGCTTTGTAAAGCCTATGAACAAGCAGCACATATTTAAAAATGAATGTGGCAAAGGGCAGGGATTTAGCTAGGTGGCCCTGTGCCTGCCTTGCAAGCGCAAGGTCCTGAGTTCTATCCCTGGTACCCCCCCCCAAAAAAAAGTAAATGTGGCAGATATTGACATTTATTCTAACCTGTATTTAGGTGTTGGGAATTTACAAGATGGTAAACTAACATAAAATATAACAAATACTTTATAGAATTAAAATTATACTGTAAACAGTATACCAACTGGTGAGTAGAATAGGACTTAAGAGTTCTTACTCATGTAGACTTAAGAATTCATAGATGCAAGTGGATAGGGGTTTGGTTGGCAAGTTCTATTATAACCTAGTTTTCATTATATTTTATTATTCTTTAGGAGTTGCTGTTTACACTGGGATGGAAACCAAAATGGCTTTGAACTACCAAGGAAAATCTCAGAAACGTTCTGCTGTTGAAAAGTTAGTGTGTACCATGATTTCCTTAGTTATTATTGTTGAAATAGTTACTTCCTCAGTAATTCCAAATCACAACCATAACAAAATATACCAAGTATGATAGAAGCCACCATTTTGAACACTCCTTTATGTACTAAAAACTGTCTTAAGTGATTTTAATCTCTGGTGTGATTTAATATTCTGGACAACTCTGAAATAATGTGTATTACCCTTTCAATTTTTTAGACCAGAAAATGGTCTCCAAGATGATAAGTGACTTACCTAAGCTTACGTAGCTATGAAAGGGTAAAGTTTACTTGAACTATTAATTCATATCCTTTTCTTGCTGGAGTTATTGATTTGAGGTGCTCTAGTTGCTGTATGCAAGATGGTTCTGCAACATTAATCATAGTCTCCTAGCAAATACTGAATTGGTTTCTGGTAGATCTTCAAACTAGGTGCCACAAGTAGGGACCTCTCTGTATTGTGGGCATGAACACCTATCAGTGGCACCTTCTCCAGAGCTGAGAAAGAGTATACACTCTTTGTGGTATTTTCATATTTGCTGTCTTGCCTTCAATCCCAAACGTTTAGGATTCAAGGACTTGGAGGCAAGCTACTCCTATAAAGATCAAGTAGGTAGTAGCATATGTGTGTGTCTGTTTCCTTTCATTGTACAAGAGCCTTACTAAAGGTGTGTTAAAGCTAGCCAGTCATTGCACATTGGGGAACATTGAAAATCAGTAAACAGTAATTCTGGGCTGGCTTTTCTGTTTTGTCAGTTGACAATGATACAGATGTGCTAACTGAGGTTCCTAGCTAAAGTTTTGTGCCGTCATTACACATCATACATGGATAAGTGAACTCATTTTATATTTGGTTGGTGAAATTAGTTAATTAAGTGGTTATAAACACTATACTATCTTATTTTTCAGATCCATTAATGCCTTCTTGATTGTGTATTTATTTATCTTACTGACCAAAGCAGCAGTATGCACTACTCTAAAGTATATTTGGCAAAGTACCCCACATAATGATGAACCTTGGTATAACCAAAAGACTCAGAAAGAACGGGAGACTTTTAAGGTAATTTATTTTTCACTGAAAATTTTAACTCTGGGACTTTGTGAGCAAGCCACCCTTTATCAAAACACTGCTCAGAGGGATGATACCTTTTGTTTGTTAGCTTCAGTGTTATCTTTTGGTTGTATGGTAGCCCTAAGCCATTAAAAGTTTAGATTTTTAAATTTTACTTTAGGCATTCATGCTTATTTTTAGGTCTTCAGTTAACAGTTTGAATCAATTTGACAAGAAACTGTGGATTTTTAATATCGTATGAACTTGTGAGATGCCATGTTAGTAGCACAATGAATACCTTCATGTAAATTCTGGTCTCTCATTCATACCTAGGGGTAGAAGGAGCAAAGAATTTAAGGAAGTGAAAAAAGTGTTAAGAGAGAGGGTATATGTCCTGAAGAACAATAACACTCAGAGTATCCTTAAAATGTTCTCACATACTGTGATCATTTTGACTACAATGATACAGTGTCATTGGAGAGTATCTTTATAGCAAGAACAGTGCTTTCAGCATTGAAATAGAGAAGGTTAACCATTTCTTTTATTATATGTATCTGATAGAGCTGTGCATCTAAATAGCATGAACTATATTTTTCATTTTAGGTTTTGAAAATGTTCACCGACTTCCTATCATTTATGGTTCTGTTCAACTTTATCATTCCTGTCTCCATGTATGTCACTGTGGAAATGCAGAAATTCTTAGGCTCCTTCTTCATCTCTTGGGATAAGGACTTTTATGATGAAGAAATTAATGAAGGTGCCTTGGTTAACACATCAGACCTTAATGAAGAACTTGGTCAGGTTAGAACACACTTTTGCATAAAATAAGGGAAAATATATTTTTTGTAATCTGGATTACCAATATATGTCACTGTTTCATGTTTAAAAATATTACAGAAAATTCTTTATGCAGGCATGTGATAAAAGTAATCAGTATTTTCATAGGTGTACATCAGTTCTTTTGGTGGCATTTTTGAGAAAGATGCAATTTATATATTTGAATGTTACAGAAATTCTCTTTAAAATTCACCAGGTGATGTTAGATTATATTGTTGCTTTGGAATAGGAAACATGCAGTCTTTGTTATTATCTAATTATTTGTGGATAGCCTACAAGGTAGTAAATACAGATATTTTATAAGTACATGTAGTCCTATAAACAGAACTGATTATTGTCCTGTTGAGATTTTTTTGGTAAATTGTTGATCAGATGGACTATAGACTAGCAAGCAGAATTGTTTATTCCAGAATAGAACTTGAAGTGAAAGGAAAATTGTAATGTCATCCCTTCCTCACAATGCTTTTTGCTTAATATACCAGTGTAACCAAGACTGTCCTCATTTCAAACCCAGGAGCATTTATTTTCTAATGTAATGCAGTCTAACTGTAATTTCAAGTAATGACTGCTTAGGTGCTTTTCTCATTAGTATTTAGAACATTTTTCCCTTTGTCTGAATTTTTTGTGTGTCATGTAATGATCTTCACAGGCTGAGGAAATTTTTTGGCTTTCAGTTAATTCTCATGATACTTCGAAGGCTATGGGAATGTCATTTCTGTGGCTAGAAAATGCAAATTCAGTTAATAGAACTCTATGGCTAGAACAGTGCTCCACCCTTCTTCTAAATGGTGCCGATTTGTATCTATACCTCAAAATTCTGTCTTGCTTGGTTTTGTCTTCCTGTTTCCCTGCTTTTTATTTGTGCCCTTGACACAGTCTTTGCCTTAAACCAAAGAATGCCCAGACACCTGCAGTTGAAAGGGTGAAAGGAATCTCCAGGTACCATTTTTGGGGGGCCTAACTTCAAATCTTAAGTATTTCAGACCTTGGAGACTGCATTCCACATAGATACTGAGGCACTAAGAATAGGATGAGAAATGTATCAGCCAGTGGTTTTTCTGAGATACTGTTTCCAAAAGTTTCTTTTGTTGGTGATTTCAGCTGCCATAATGGACTCTATCCTTTTTAAACCCCTGAATTTTTATCCAGGGACAGATCTATCTGAATAGAACTACTGTAGTTTCAACGGAAAGCATCAGTCTGCACGCTTTTGACAGAAACAAGTTTTTGAGTTGCAGAAGTCACCTCTAATGAACCCATTTCCCTGACAGCTAATTTAGTGTCTCACTCTAAATGTGCCTCTTGTAGATTCAATGCCTGGTTGTGTAGATTAACCTACCCAAGGGAGAACATAGCTCCCCAGGGGACGTCTTTAAGTACTACTGCAAATAGAGTAGCCATTTTTCGAAGGTTACACTTAATGATCTCCTCTCCTGAGACAGACAGGATGTCCAGGCCAGGTTCCACTTGATGGAACCCTTCCCTCATTCCTTCAGATCCCTACTTCAACAGATTTCATGTTACCTTTGTTAGTGCATACCTGCTGTTATTATCCATATTGTAATTAAGACTAGAAACAGTAAAGTTGAGCTTTGGGTAATAATCTGGTAAATTTGATTAGTGAAAAGAAGCTACAGATTTTGTTTCCACTACCACTTTCTTCCTTTACTAAATTCTGCATTTTGAAGCACAATTGACATTTAGTAGACCACCACTTCAATTAATATGCTATCTAAACAACTTGCTATCATTATCAGCTTGTACTTTTAGAAAATATCTGAATGAAAATGCCAAGAAGCCTTGAAATAGTTTTCTTATACCATTTAGCACTCAATGGACTGGTACACATGAAATTAAGTATAATCAGCTTCTTCTTCAATGAGTCATAATTTAAGACCTATAGGTCTTTTTATGTCACTAAAGGTAATATCAGTTCATTCCCATCAATGCCATGGCAAACATTTGTTTAACCTCTTTAAAGAATGAGCCATTGATATTTAAAAAAAGGATAGAAGGATATATTTAGGGCATTGATACAAAAAGAGGGAACAAAAGGAAATAGACTGGTCAGCTCAGAAAAATAATGATTTTTTTATTCTGATCAGACCCTGGTCTTTTATATAACTGAATGATTTCAAACCACCCTGAAAATACTATCAGACTAGTCTCCCCCTTCATATCCCTTCCCAGTGTTGTAGCTATGCCTGATAGGTTTGATTTTTTATTATCTAAATATATGCAGTATTCTGACTTCAGTAATTCAATCTAGTAGTTAATATATTCAGCTTCTAATGTCTACCTGGGATGGTGCTAGCTATTGAGGTTACTATGATAAACAAGAGACCATCAAGTTGTTCACCATCTACCTACTTGGGGAAACAGAACAGACCTAACTAAACCAGTGGGATCGTAATCAATCAGAAAAAAAAAAATCAATGAATGTGAAGCAGTGGAAAGAGTCTAGTACTATACTATTTTGGACAAGTCAACTCCAACAACAGTCAACATCTGTATAGCATCTTTTCATTTCAGAACATACTTACTATTGAGCTTTATTGCTTAGTCTTCAGAGTCTTGTACAGCAGGTCTTATAATTTAAATTTAATATTTAAATTCATAAAATGAACATATTTCCCCGAAGCACAATGTTAGCATACCTGGCACCACAAGGTGGAACTTTCAAAGTTAGTTTTTTTTTTCTTTTACAGACAAATGACTACTTCAAATTTCCTCAGGCCTAGGACATAGCTCCCCTCCATCTTTCCTCAACCCAGATGAACTGCAGAATATACAGATGCTGGCATTAACGATCAAGTCCAGTTTCATTCCCTTAGGCAAGATAGGGAGAGGTCTGGTTCTAGGAAGACTGAAACAGGTCTGACTGTGTCTGTTGTCTCATTGTATTCCCTCTCCCACTGATCCTTGCTATCAAAGACTCCATTACACCTATATTGTACAAAGTGAGATGGTGATTTGAGGCATATTGGCCCCTCCATCCCTTGGAGCTAGCTTTGAATAAGTCCTTTTTTCCTTTTTACATTTTATTTGGTCAGTGGCAAGCAAATGAACCTGAGCACAAGGACCTCAGTGGCCAATAACATTAGTAGGTGGCGGACCCAAGACTTCATTCCAAATATTCTACTTGTTAAACCATATAAAATGTTTTTAATCAAATTTGACCTATGAAGTAGACTATTTCATGTGTTCAACCTATATTTCAGAGCTCTTTCTGCCCTATAGCAACTATCTCACTAAGAGATAGGAAACATAACACCTACATGATTTTTCCTTCAGCCACTCAAAACAACTCTTGCCAGAAGTTATGGTGCTGGAGGGAGTTTCTGCATAGCCCCAGCAACAGTTCTCTAGTGGACTCCTCTGGGTATCCTAATTCTGGTTACTTCTGACACTTACCTACCTGGATATGGCATCAGATCTCACACAGATTGAAGTGCCAGGATACTGGTCCTCACCATAACATGTCAAGTACAGCTTGTACCCTGTGTTTATGACCAGCCAGCTCTCAGGACTCTATGATCCCTGCCTTGGATTCCATTAATTTGCTAGAATAAGTCACAAAATTCAGGCAAACATACTTATGCTTACTGGTGTACTATAAAAGCTACAGATGAATAGCCAAGTGGAAGGCACATATAGAGCAAGGTGTGTGGGCAGGGTACAGAGCTTCCATGTCCTCTCCAGGAGTGTCATCGTCTAGGAACCCGTATGTGATCAGCTGGCTAGGCGCTCTCTGAACCCAGTCACGGTGGCTGTTTATGGAAGCTTCGTCACGTCACTAAGACTTGAGTGATTAACTCTTTGGCCATTGACAGTCAGTTTAACCTTCAGCCCTTCTACGCTCCCACTAGAGGTTGTAGAGTGGGACTGAGAAATCCCAACTTGTTGATCTTGCCTTAATCTTCCTAGTGACCTGCCCCTAGCTGAAAGCTATACAGAATCTGTGCTACCAGTCATCTCATTAACATTCAAAAGACACTGTTGTCTGTCCGGAGAGATTCCACGCATTTTCAGATCATATGTCAAGGGCTGGGGATTTAGCTCAGTGGTTCTGCTGCCTGCCTCACAAGTGCAATGTCCCAAGTTCAATCCCCGATACCCGCAAAAAAAAAATCATATGTCAGGATATAGGGATGAAGATCTAATATATATTTCACAATATCACAGTCTACCCCATCTTCAAACACTGATGATCAAAGAGATACACAACTCAGAAGAGGCTGATGCATTAATAGATTTCCATTCACTCTTTGATAATTACTATTTGTCCAGTCATTGAAAATACCTCTGGGTGCAGTCACTGAGGTTTATAGGCTTCCATTTTAATCATCTCAGGTTCCAAAAGAAGGAATGAATTAGAAAAACATACTGCTGCATCTTTTTAGGCATCTAGTACAGTTGAGCTTGCTGTGAGCCCCTTTTGAGGTATTAACATGATTCTGAATTTCCCTCATTGCATAACCCACTTTACTCATTCTTGTACCCTCAACTATGAGTTCTCCATTTTATTTATACCCAAGCCTTTACCCACTTGGAATGGTCATTAGATTTAGGCCACTATGCTTGTCTATACCAAAGGAAGCAGTAGTCTAGCAGGAACCTTCCCCTCTGTCCACTGCCATTTTGATAGTGTAAGGTTAAATGGAGAAATGGTGGGCAATTTGAATCTTCAGCCAATATAGTTGTCACTGTGTAATTTGCCACATGGAGGGAAGCACCACCCACTCACACTCATCACGCCCTTAGGAATCCTGACTGGGGCTTTAAAAACATTTCTCCTGGATGTGTAGCTCTGTGGTAGAATTTAGCTAGCAGGTCTGAGGCCTTGAGTTCCATCCCTAGTACCACCAGAAGAAAGGGAGGTAGTGATTCAGAGCCCCCAGTTTTGAAGCTGGCTAGGTAACCCCACTACCAGTTGTCTAGACTATCTTAGCAACCAAGTCTTTTAAAAGCTATAGTTCAAGAAATGAATTTCATAATATCACTCATTTTATACTTTCAGTCCATAAAATGATGAGTTTGAACTTGCTGATATAGAGGAGACTTCTTCAGGAAGCACAAGCCTGTCTTTAAAGAGGAAACGGCTGCCTGTAAGGCAGAGTCAAGCAGCAGGCTCTGTTTCTATCTCTCTCCTTTAAGTATGAGACTACTTTTTAATATGGATCACAGCTGGTCCCCTCCCTTTTTCCTGAGTATATGACATATGCTGGGGCACTGGTTCTCTGAGACCAAAAGCATCAGCATAAGCTAGAAACTTAGAAATACAAGTTATCCAGCCCCACCTCAGACCTCCTGAATTAGAATCTCTGGTGTAATGGTGCGCAGCACTCTGGAGGGTTCCTGCAATCCCTCCAGATGTATGTGATAATGCTACACTTTGAGCCTTGCTGCATGTGAGTATAGTGTGTTAGCCTATACCTGTGATATTCCAGGTCTGTAGAACCATACTGCCCAAATGTACATGTAGGTGCAGAAATTATACTGTATATTGTGAAAATGCCACCTTTGGCACTGGTAAAAGAGACTCTGAATAGGCTCATGCTCATCTAAGTGCACGATGTGAAATAACCCAGGGCAACCTTCAGGAGTAAAGGGAAGTTAATAATTTTGACCAGGAGAAAAGGATCCCCACAGAATTTCATTTTAACTGGAAAAATCTAAATGGTACATGAATAGTACTAGCTGGATTAATTTAAAGAGAGAATTCAAACTTGGCTGGCTAACAGGAAAAAAGGAAGATTGGAATGCTATATTTGTGCCAGTGCTGCTACCGTGAAAAGCTTTGAAAAATAATTAGAAAGCAACTACTGCTGAAGTTCATCTCTCCCTTACATAATAAAAACCTTAATCTTGTGCTTATGCTTGTTCCTGTCAGCCCATAATTTTAACTATTTAAACATAAATTGCCAAAAGGGAGGATAAAATTGTGGGTTTCCAAAAGCCAGATGTTATAAATAGAAGAGATAAAAACTGAGATAAAATGGAAAAGCTCAAAATTGTCTATTTGAATGGAAAATTTGTTTCATTGCTTATTTTCCACTATTTATGAAAATATTCTTATATATTATACTTTAAACTAGCATTATAAACTTTTTTCAATTTGAGAACATTTTTGAGAAGCATCTAAAAATATGCATAGTATATGGGAAGCAATTTCAGTTATATTTTTGATCATTATTGACCTATTATATCTCCTCATTAGATAATATTTATATTTTCTCTCCCTGTATATATGCTATAGTTCTTATGTTCATAATATACTTCATTTTACATCTGTCTACTATTGAGCTTTTCCCCGGTGAGAACCCTCGCAGTTTTTGTTTGATTTTCTTATTTCCCAGTTGACTTAAACTCCAATTAAACTTTTTTCATCCTCCCCCTGCTCTGTGTGTGTGTGTGTGTGTGTGTGTGTGTGTGTGTGTGTGTGTGTGTAAAGTAAGTGTTCAGTGAATTCTTATTTCCCCCTTGGAAAAACTGACTTTAATGGGTTAAATTGTATAATTCTTAGTTTAATATAGTAGTCACATTTATCCTTCCTATTATTCTTCTGCATTTGAGTAGGTCTACCTTAGGCAGTGGTACTATTTCTGTATCTTTAAAAATACTAGCACATTTGCCTCTGTAATTCTCTGACATTTGACAAAAAGCCTCAGAAGAAATTACTTTCTGTGGATATGGAAATAGCACTGCCATACAGCTAACTAAAATTAATCACACTGAAGAAACATATATGTTTGTGTTTTTGTTTCAGGTGGATTATGTGTTTACAGATAAGACTGGAACACTCACTGAAAATAGCATGGAATTCATTGAATGCTGCATAGATGGGCACAAATATAAAGGTGAAACTCAGGAAGTTGATGGATTGTCACAAAGTGATGGACCTTTAACATATTTTGACAAAGCAGATAAGGTAACATTTTCTACATTATTATTTTACCTGAAAAGTCAGTCATATGTTACACCTACGTAACCATTTGCTTTTTTAGTTTCACCTTTTTTAGCTTCACGTTTTTGCATTTTGTTCTTTCCCCCTGCCTTTTTCCTTCCTTCCTTCCTTCCTTCCTTCCTTCCTTCCTTCCTTCCTTCCCTCCCTCCCTCCCTCCCTCCCTCCCTCCTTCCGTGGTATTGAGGATTGAACCCAGGGCCTCACACTGAACTACATTCCCAGCCTTTTTAAAATTTTTTTCAGATGAGGTCTTGCTAATTTGCCTCTTCTGGGCTTGAATTCGGGATCCTCCTTCCACAGCCTTGCAGGGTGCTGAGATTATAGGCTTGCACCATCACACCTGACTCACTTTTCTTGTTTTACTAATACCTCCAGAATTTGTGGACATGTAGTACTTACAAGTAAAGAGAATTAGGGAAAATGACATTTGAGTAAAACGTTTTCTTGCCTGTGTCATCATATTTTTTTAAAAAAATATAAGCTCCTCAGAGAACAATGTCACTTCAAATCATTGAAGTTCCAGGAATATCTAGGCATTAAATGAACCAAAGCCTCCCTGCACCAGAGCTGTTGCTGGATTGAGAACTAGATACCAAATGGACTCTTTTAGTACCATGAAGAAGTCATTGCCTTGGTTAAGTGTGGCCTCAAGGGATGCTAAGAAACAGGAAATTCTTTTAGATGGTAGGATGATACATAGCTTATTTGGTAGGTGTTTATGTATTTTTTAAACTCAACCTGTTAGAGGTTATAACATTCTCTCACATATCTTTTCTGTATTCACTGACCCTAGTACTTAGTGACCAAAATAAAAGTAATACAGACATTTCTTCTCTTGCTATTCCACAGAATCGAGAGGAGCTCTTTCTGCGTGCCTTGTGTTTATGTCATACTGTAGAAACTAAAACAAACGATGCTGTTGATGGAGCTACAGAGTCAGCTGAACTAACCTATATCTCCTCCTCACCAGATGAAATAGCTTTGGTAAAAGGAGCGAAAAAGTAAGCACTCCTCCTGAGAAATGAAAGCACAGGAGAACATGAGTAATTTTGGTTTTTTGTAATTTGCTTCAATGACCCTCTCGTATGTTGCTTATGTTGTTTAGTAAAAAGGCAAACTGCTTTATCTTATGGAAAATTACCAGATCTAACCAGTTGAATCCAAAAAGATTAGTGATACATTGATACACTATGCCTTATTATTTATACATGCCAGCCACAAGTCCAGATTTTTATATTGTATTTTACAAATCGCACATTAATGGCCACTTTTTGTACAATACATGTTATTTCTGAAGTGTTCTCATCAGTTGTGATGTCATTTGATAACTGACTCCAGTTTTGTCCACAAGGCCCAAGATGATTAAGTGGTCAAAAGGTCATCCCAGTGTGTTAGCTGCAGAATTGAAATTACAAATTGTTTCTCTTTTGCTTTGAATAATTGTGGCTGGGCATTGAGTTGCTCTGGGTTAGATCATATGAAAAGAGAAGAAATGAATTATGAAGCATGAGTAGTCTCAGTGCAAGGTGCATTTAATTGTTCTTTAGATCTACACAAAGGTCTTTCTTATTGTTTTTCATAGGTATGGGTTCACATTTTTAGGAAATCGGAATGGACTTATGAGAGTAGAGAACCAAAGAAAAGAAGTTGAAGAGTAAGTAGCTCTGTGTTTGATATTCGTCACTTCCTAACCCAAGAGTCAACTTCAAATGGATGCGGGAAGGGCAGCAGAGGAAGCTGATGGCCCTACAAATATAGAACTTGGCTTTCCCAATTCAGAGTTTCATGTAAACAGAGTAGAAGCCATTTCACTTCTGTAACACACACTGTGGGAAAAATCAGGTAAGGTGTATGAAACGTGCTGAAGTCCAGAGTCCACACACTCCCTCTTAGGATTTCAGGCCCAGCCAATAATGGCAGCTTTGGTATTCACCAGAACCTTCGTCTTGTTCTTAGATATTCAAGCATAGGCCCCAGGTCAGGAGCCCTGATAAAAAGTGTCTGGAAAGTTCTTTTACTAAAAGACCCAAAAGAACAAAGAACCTTGGCTTAATGGCACATTTGAAACAATCTCTGTGATTAATTTGAACTTTTTCATCTGAACTTGAAATGTAATTCTTATCTGAATGACATTCTGACCCATAAGCTCCCATGAGATCTATCTCTGAAACCTACAATACATTGGGAGGTACTTGGGTAATATTGCTCCTGGGGAAGGATGCTCAGCAGCTCAGAGGAGGGCTCTTTGGTTTAACTGCCAGTCATGGTCAGAGTCCAGATCCAGTTGCTCTATCTGGCCATTGCCAGGTGTGTAGAAATCTTACACCCCCACCCCCACCCCTCCCAACAGAACAAAAAACAATGTCTTGCTTCCTCCCCTGGAAAACAAGGTATATAGTTCATTTTTTATGTTGCACATGTGCAAAATTTGTTGATTTTCCAGAAAATATTTTGTCGTGCTTTTCTGATTATTACTTCTTATTTTAACTCCTCTATGTCCTGTTATCTGATTGATAGTTCAGCCATTCATATACAAATTTGATCCATCTCTTAATGTCATTTTGCTCTTCAAATCCTTCATTGGCTTCCTATTGCTCTTAGGGTAAAAGGCCAAGTTTCTGAAGCACCCCCAGGGTTTTCAGCTTTTAATCCGTGCTTATCTGTTTTGCTTCATCTCTTGCTGTTTCTTCCCCTAATGATGGGTTTTCTGGGCATTTGGAAACCTAGAGTCCCTCATGTGTTGTCATGTCACACTGTTCCTTTTTGATGTTCTTTCCTGAACTCAGAATGCCATGTCCTCCCTTTCTTCATTGTATCATTCTTACAGAACCCAGCCCCAACATGACCTCTTCCAGGAAGCCCCCCCACCCCCGCTTTTTTGGATGAAAATCATCTGTACTCATATCTTCCTTTTGAGCACCTTTAGTTGGTATTTGACTAACAGAAGGTAGTTATCTCATTACCCTTTGCCTTCCTTACCAGATGATGAGCCCCTTAGGGAAGGGACACAGGCAGATTTACCTCTATTCCCCAACACTTAGCACTGTGCCTGACCCATAGTAGGTACTCCTTAGATCAGTGGTAGTGAACGGACCATGTGTGCCACAGCGGGCTGTTCATATTGAAAGCCTTAAAAGGTTCGCCATCACTGCTTTAGATGAAGGTAAAAATAATTCAAAAAGTGGAACTATTTCTGGAACCGCTCTGGACATGGCTTTGTGGGAAAGCGCTTTCTTCTCCATTACTGTGTAGTCAGTCATTACTGTTTTATGTAATATAGTGAGAGTATAAATACCCCTTGATAAACACTGCTTTTCTCTAATGGCACCTTCTATGTGCAGAGAAACTCCAAAGAAAAGTGAAAGTACTAGTTTTATACACAGCCAGCTATCTTTACCTAAAAAGGAGAGCTATCCATTCATTTAAAATATTTAAGTATCTTAAGATGTTTCTATTGTGTTTTACTTTATACAACACAGTCCCAGTATTATACTTTTTTTTTCTCTTTTCTTAAAGGTATGAACTTCTTCACACTTTAAACTTTGATGCTGTTCGCCGACGAATGAGTGTAATTGTAAAAACTCAAGGAGGTTTGCATCTTAAAATTTTGACTTTTTTCTCTTTTTCTATTTGTAGTTTTATATTTTGAACAACTATTTCAGGAAAGAGAAATATTTCATATAGTGGTTTATGATAATTAGTCTTGGAAAGCGATAGAATTTATATATGCCTTCACATATTTATTTAGGAACATATGTTCGGTTTGCCAAACTGTCAGTGACCAAACCCCTGGTATAACAGTAAATGCATTTCATTTCCAGGAAACTTTATTACCCTGCCCTGGCTATTCAGATAGGAACTGACAGGGTGCCTTTTGTGTGGCTCAGGATACTCATCTTTTTAGTGGTCAAGTAGGAATATTTCCTGGGTATATAAACCATAATCATTATTTGTGACCACCAACAAAATTCAAGTGTGGTAATTAACTGAGCCAGAAGCTCAGTGTAGTTGGATGGTGTGGGATTACCAGCACCAGAAACCTAGAATGTAGAGTTGCTGGTTATCTACTGCTTTCCATTCTCTGCAAGTAGTTAAGATATAGAAGACTGAGCCAGGCTTCTGAGAAACGGAATTTTGCTATCATTCCAGAGCTCAGGCTTCTTTGACAGTAAAGCTTGCCTTTTGCAGGGGCACCGGTAGCATCATCCCAGGCTCCTCCTCGTCTTTGGGAGGATATATGGTGGTTTGCTTTCTGTTCAGATTCTGAAAGACCCATGGAGGAGTGCTTTTGCTTCATTCACAGGCTCACAGTTGCATATGTATGTGTGCACACATGCATATCTTTTGCCCAAAAAGTTTGTTTTCAAAATATGCTTGATTTATTTCCCAGTACTTTACTTTTTAGTATTAAATCTGTACCAAATTCTTTAGTGTGAGAGTAGGAGATTGCAGACAAACTCTTGGAGAAACATCTCACTTTATTCAAACTTTGTGGTATGACTCCAAAGTCATGAAATTGATTTTAGTATGTGACCATGGGATTTGTTTTATGATTTGTAAAGACACTCTGGGTTCGTGAGAGAAAACAAAGAAAAGCATTTAACATTACACTTCTCTTATGTGTGCATATGTTCCTATATGTCTTCCTTTAAAGGATGACATATATGGGGAAGTGGTCTACAAATAGTTCATTGACCTTAGAATCATACTTTTTAATTTGTGAACTCAGCTCTTTGGCTTATAAGGATAATGTCTTTTCGTACTCAAATGTGGATATTTCCTGGGTGGATGAATTAATCTGAAGCTGCACTTGTACCAGCATTTTACAGCTAATTTCATGTCCCCAGTAAAAGCAATCAAAACCAGTGTTTTTTTGAAAGCTGACTGGTAATACTTTATTTAAAATGATTTCAGCCTGTTTGCGTTTGAGTTTGGTTCTTAATATCTGTAGATATGTGCTCCCTAGGCTGTAACTGACTAGACTTTTAAAGTTTGCATTTCTTTGACACAAGCCTTGTCCAACGTGATTCACTGGTGTTTTAGTTACTTTTCTAGTTGCTGAGACAAAATACCCAACACTCAAAATTAAAAGGGAACGGGTTTATTTAGCTCACAGTTTGTAGAGGTTTCAGTACATAATTAGCTGGCTCCAAGGCAGAGTGGCACATGGCAGAGGGGAATCACAGAGAGGAAACAGGTCACGGTGCCCACAAGGTAGCAATAGCAACAAGGGCCCTTTATAGCATCTTTTTGCCCCTTTTATCTTATTTAGCCTACTTAGGCCAGAGAGCCCTCATGCCCTTAATCCTAGTTCCCTTGGGCCTAGCCCCACCATTAATCACACACTGTAGATTCAGCCACCGCTGAAAAAGCATGACACAGGGGGGACATCTAGACACAAGCCATAACAAGTGGGATGACATATATACATACATACACATTACATATATATATATATATATATATACCAACACCATTATTGGTATGTGTTTGCAGTACCTAATGATTACATTTATCGTGTAGCATTAACACTTGTACATAACACATCTTAATTCCTTTTATCCACTTCTTCCCATCTCCCTCCATCTCTTGATCCCTGTCCCTTTTACAAAAGTGCTCTCTGCTTCCTATTATCTTTTATTTTGCTCTTTAACTTATCTATACTTTGAGTTTCTCATGAAAGAAAAGTCATGCAATATTTAAGCTTGTGTGTTTGTTCTATTTTCCTTAACATTACATATATATATATATATATATATACACACACACACACACACACACACACACATACATGCATATTACATATATATAGATATATGTAATATGCATGTATGTATATATGTTGTAAACACTGTGTTTATGTATCCATAATGATCAGAAGAGGTGTTCTCCAGACAGACTGAAGTTCTAGATGTCTCATTTCACCTGGGGAAGCATTGCAAGGCAGACTAGGATTGTACAGCACCCATATGGGAGAGGCCACTGTAACAGTCATCTCTTATTAAAATTCCAGTACCAGCATTTATACTTTAAGTAAAATACTTTGGTTCTTTGTTTTAGGAGACATACTTCTCTTTTGTAAAGGAGCAGATTCAGCAGTTTTTCCCAGGGTGCAAAACCATGAAATTGAGTTAACGAAGGCCCACGTGGAACGTAATGCAATGGTGAGCCTCTGTCCCTCATCTCAATAAGTTAAAGAGAAATGCTGGGCCTGACCATGTTTATGGGATTGCGTATATAGATGGATGTTTAAATGAATTTTAGCTTATAGTTATCATCCAGTTTTTACATTTGAAGATTTAGCAATATAATTCTCATTATTTTAATATAAAACATCTTAGGGCAATGTTCTCATCAGAATACAAAGACTTTTCAAAAATCTGTTGAAAGTTATTGTTTTGTTAATTTGAACCCAATTGAATGTTATATTTTGGATTAGTCTGTTCTTTTTTAAAAATTGTGTCCGGATTACCATTTACATATAGGTAAAGAGTATGTAAAGAGTGTAGATTTTCCACCTGTAATTGGGATAATTATGGATCTTCTGCTTTGCTTCTAGGATGGGTATCGGACACTGTGTGTAGCCTTCAAAGAAATTGCTCCAGATGATTTTGAAAGAATTAATAGACAGCTCATAGAGGCAAAAATGGCCTTACAGGACAGAGAAGAAAAAATGGAAAAGGTTTTTGATGATATTGAGACCAACATGAATTTAATTGGAGCCACTGCAGTGGAAGACAAGTAACTAGAAAATGATACTCTTGTTATTTTAATGACCAGTTATTTAGGGTGGGATCTGTGCCAGATTAGTAATTTATTAACATTTTGAAATCTCTGGTTTAGCTTTGTTGTTTAAATGGGCTTGAAGATTTATTTATTTTAGCAGTTATAAAAAATTACACTGGGTTTTTAACTGTGGCTATGGTTTTATGTTAAATATCAGTTATCACTAAGAACTCTTGAATGTTTACTAAGCCATCCATTCATGTGAGCAATTATTTTTGAAATAGTCTTGCTGTATGTTGGTAGGGAAAGGTACTAAGGCCATCATTTGTGCTGGTGCTTGAAAAAATGGGTAAGATTTTGACAGAGATGAGCAGAAAGGAAATACAGGGTAGAGTGAACAGTAGCACAAAAGCTTATTATAACCTGGTTTAACAGATCAGAGTATATTTTTGGATATTTTAAAATAATCTGTTTTAAACATACAGGGTGAGCTCTGCCAGACATGATTGTAGAACTCTGGCATTGATGTGCTTACAAAGGTTAAGTTTTAGATTCTTAATGTTTTAGAAGTTTTCTAAAAATAATAAATGCAGGCCAAGCATTGTGGCATTTGTCTGTAATTCCAGCACTCTAGAAGGCTGAGGCAGGAGGAGCCCAAGTTCAATCAAAGCCTAGGCACTTCAGTGACTTAATGAGGGATGTTGGCTAGTGAAAAGGCCCTGGATTCTATCCCCATGTCTTAGTCACTTCCCTGTTGATGAGTCATAATATGGACCACCTACAACTTCAAGGGAGTGAAGCTTATTTGGCTCAGTTTCAAAGTAGAAAAAGTGGGTTCAGTTCAAAGTTGACTGGATTCAAGGCAGAAATACATGGCCTAAGAGTATGGCAAAGAAAGCTGTTCACCCTGTGTCAGCCAAGAAACAGAGAGGGCAGAGCAGGGGAAAAGAATATACCTCTCTGGGGCACCCCCAGGCCCCACCTCCATCCGGGCCCCTCCTCCTAACAGCACATTCAGCTGCTGAACTCCTCAGAGGATGAATCTACTGATGCAGATATTACCCCGAAACACATGAGACTGGGGGACATTTTAGATCTAAATCACTAGCACACCAGTACATAAAAATAATGAATGCATTAAGGTATGGTAGCGTGTACTTGTGATCCCAGCTTCTAAGAAAGCTGAGGCACAAAGACCCTAAAGTTCCAAGCCCCGCCTGGGCAACGTAATGCGACCTTATTTCTAGATTTAAAAAAAGGGCCAGGAGCATAGCTCAGTAGTAGAAAATATATCTAGCACGTGCAAGGCCCTTCATTCAATCCCCAGCACAGGGGGAGAGGGGTAGAGATGGGAGGAAGGAGGGAGAAAAGAATAACAAATGTAAATTATTAGTCTTAACCAAACAACAATTATAAATATATATTCAGCTACATTGGAAAGTACAGTACTCAAATTTAATGGCATTTATTTAGTTAAATTTCATTGTTATTCAAGAGTGGAGGTCCAGAGATTTAGCTCAGCAGTTCCACCGCCTGCCTTTCAAGTGAAAGGTCCTGAGTTCGATCCCCTGTACCAAAAAAAAAAGAGTGGAGAGGTGGAGAGGGAAGAAAAATTTATAGATATAAATTATGAAACGTAACCAAACAAAAATTACAAATATATATTCAACCACATTGGAAGGTATTCAGATTCTAATGGAATTTATTAAATTCAATTCCATTGTTATTCTGTGCTCAACAGAAGCCAAAGAAAGTACAGTATCTGTCCATTCTTGAATTTCAGAATTATACCTAGGTTCTCTTTCCAGATGGCTGATTTTCCTCTTAAGAGTTCCTTCAAGATGGGGAGATTCACTAACTTTCCTCAATATCTGATTAGAATATGTTCTGCCCTTTGCATTTTGAACTATGTTAAGAATCTATGGTGAGATGTGAAACATAATGAAATATGCTGAAGTGACAGTGAATTTAGACATTTGTTGAGTTGCTTAACATTTTAGCTTATAGTGATGATTGTCAGTTCCACTATTGAATACCGATTACCTCAAGAGAGACCATGTACTTTTTTGAAGTTCAGTGTTTGAAATCCACTTTAATAAGTAAAACTCTGCCAGAGATAGCACTCTTAGAAGAAGCAAAGTAAAACCAAATGTGATAAGGTGTCAGGAGTGTAGCACTGCTGTGAATTGTAAAAATGTTCTTTTTAGCAAGCTTTCTTGCACGAACTGTTTCAGAAATTTTAGAGGATTACAAGGTTTCCTTGTGTTTCCAGGCTACAAGATCAAGCTGCGGAAACCATTGAAGCTCTGCATGCAGCCGGCCTAAAAGTCTGGGTGCTTACTGGGGACAAGATGGAGACAGCAAAATCTACTTGCTATGCCTGCCGCCTTTTCCAAACCAGCACTGAACTCTTGGAACTCACCACAAAAACCATTGAAGAAAGTGATAGGAAAGAAGATCAATTACATGAATTGTTGATAGACTATCGTAAGAAGTTGCTGCATGAATTTCCTAAAAGTGGTAGAAGCCTTAAAAAGTAAGAAAGTACACCAATTCCTTATATTTAGACATTGGTACAGATATAAGTAGCAGTTGCTTATGGAGAAGGCTTCATTTTCTGTGTTTAATCATTCTCTGTTTGCAGGTGTTTTATACTTACGAGTTAAAACCTTCCCCGAGTAGTACTTGGTTGCTGGCCCATTTTGAAATTACTTGGCACTTTCTGCCTCTTTTTGTTGTTTTGTTTTGTTTTGTTTTTTTGAGACAGGGTCTCACTATGTAGTTGAGACTGACCTGGAACTCACGATGCAGCCCAGGCTGGTCTTGAACTCACAGCGATCCTCCTGCCTTAGCCTCCGGAGTGCTGGGATTACAGGCATGCGCCACCATGCCTGGCTCTGCCTCTTTTTTTAAATAAAGGAGAATTATATTTCAAGATCTATAAAAATAGCTCACCCTTTAAAATTTCTTTTAATTAATGGGAGAAAACATAAAATTGTACATATTAATGGAGTAATGTTATACATGTATATATTATATGTTTAAATCATAGTAAACATACCTGTATCCTCAGACATTTATCATTTCTTTATGGTGAAAAACCTTTTCAGAATCCCTTTTCTAGCTTTTTGAAATATGCAGTACATTATTATCACCCTACTGTGGCATAGCACACCAGAATTTCTTTATCCTGATTTGAACTTTGTACCTACCGATTGATAATCCTTTCCCATCCCTTCCTCCACCTACCGTGCTAGCCATTATTCTACTGTCATCTTCTGAATGATGAATGTTTTTAGGTTCCACTTATGAGATCACGCTGTACTTGTCTTTCTGTGCTTGACTTACACTTAAAACAATTCTCTATTTCTGTCCAAGTTGTTCCAAATGATAAAATTATCTTCTTTTTTATGGCTGAATAATAACCATGGTGCCTATCTACCACATTTTCTTTATGCATTCATCAGTTGATGGACACTTAGGTTTTTTCCATTTCCTGGTGAATAGTGCTGCAAAGAACGTGGGAGTGTCTCATCGACATACTGACTTCATTTCCTTTGGATGATAAGTGAGATGGCTGGATCATATTGTAGTACTGTTTTACAATTTTGAGCAACCTTAAAAATAGCTTGATTTCTAAATGTTTTGGGCCTAGGATATAACGAAATTAATCTCAGTAACAGTTTTCCATTATTTCTGGGCCCCAGAGCTATTTCCAATTGGGGTCTTATGCCTCAGAACTCCAAAAGGAACCAGATACTTGTAACACAAGCACTTTGGCTCTGCTTTTCATCTACCTACATAGGAGGAACTTAGAGTATCTAAGAGTTAAGATAGCTGTTGATTCACAGTAATTCACTGCTTATGGATATATCTTCTGTACTTCCTTTGACCAAACCTCACCCTTGGCTATATTAATTCCCCAAATTTACCTTGGCCATGAATAAATTGAATTCCTTTTCTAGAATGCCCCCTGATATGCCTGTACTACCTGCAGAGACCCCTACATATTTTACTTTTCATTTCTTTACCATACCTTATGTTCTAAGAACCATGTTAAGTGCCTTGTATGATGATTCTTATTTAATCTTCATGAATAACCCAGTTAGGCAACATTATTGTTTTCCTTTTACAGATAGGAAAACAAACTCGGCAGCATGAAGTGAATTGCTCAAGATCATACAGCTAATATGGGATTGAGCACATGTATCCCATTAATGTATCCATGGTTTTAATAGCTGTGCTGTGTCTCTTCCTCTTTCTCAATGTTTAAAGAAGCTTAAAAATGAGTAGGGCACATTCATGAGGCTCTGGCCAATTCTAAAACAGCTGTTGTTCTTCTGATACTTGGGTATTAGTAAGAATAAATATGCTTTTGTTAATTGTCAGTGAGAAATGTTTCCTTTCTTTAGCCAAATGGTACTTATAAAATCAGTGAAAATTGTATGCATTTTACTTGTCCATTTGTCTTTTAATCTGCTTGGGCTGCCATAACATTACCACAGACTGGATGGCTTAATCAACAGAAATTTATTTGTGCTGGATGTTGAGAGTTTGTGATCATAATGCCAGAATGGTAGGATTCTGGTGAGAATCCACTTCTCAGTTTGCAGATAGCAGGCTTCTCCCTGTGTCCCTCACATGACTGAAACAGATCTGGTGTCTCTTCTTTGTATAAAACCAATAAACCCAACAAGCGGCCCACACTCTCACAGATTGATCTAGACCTAACTACTCCCAAAAGCTCCTATCTCCATCTCCTGTTTGTAAGCATGATTGGGGTTAAGTGTCAACATTGAATTTTGAGGCCACACTGCAGTACATAACAGTCACCAATCCCATCTTTAGTGCCCAACATCCTGACTTAACCTAAACCATGTCTCCTCTCCGAGGCCTAGTATAGTCTCTGAGGGTAGAGCCTTAAGATACAAATTTTGAAAGGACACAGTTCAGTCCATAGCTCTGTTTGGCAGGTCTGTGTTGCTTTTGTGAAAGGCAGGCATTTTAGAATGACACACCATCTCCATCTCAGATTACTCCCTTTTCCAGATCTTCTGTTTGGAGTAGGGTGGTCTTTCCCTCAGTCACAGAGGATTCAGACTCAGAATCACCTTTGCCAGCTTCTGATCCCTTGCCTTTTTAACTCCTAAGCCTTACCCATGCTCACATTCTTGGCACTAGCACTCCACATTGTAGAGGCCTCACACTTCATACATCAAATACTTTACGCCCCTCTTCCAGATGAGTGGTCTTTAAATAAAGCACTGTCTACTTCACAATCCTACTCTGAAACCTTCAGTATGGTTCTCTATTACTCAAAGATTGAGATCAAACCAAAATCCTCAAGTGACTTTTTAAACTTGCTTTCCCCCTGCACCTCAACATACAGTTTAATCCATTGTTCTTTCCTGTGTGGATCTGTTTTCCCATTAACTGGGCATTAACTGTTTATTATCTTGTTTGGTTATGTAAAATATCCTCTCATGTAAGCTTGTTGCTCAAGGAGATATTCTGTTCTCCAAGGAAAGATTAGTAATTTTTTGTGTTCTTCCAAATGGCCTGCTTATAGTTTGTATTTATAAATATTTCATGATTGGTTATTGAGCTCCTGCATTCTACCCAGTAAGTCAGCTCTGTACGTGAGCAAAGAATACATGATTAATGTGTCTTTAATGAATAAAATGTGCTCACAAAATTATGAATCCAAGTATGGATAAATAAAATGTATTATTATGGCGTTAGAGATAATATACCACAGAAATAGAGGATAAAAGTGATGAGGTATATTACGCTTTTACTACTCAAAGTTTGATCCCTAGAATGTTTGCTCCATTGTCTCTGGGCAGCTTGTTAGAAATTTAAAATATCACACGTCATCCCAGATGTACTGAATAAGAATCTTCATTTTTTCTGTGTGTTTATAATTTGTTTGCAGTGCTGGGGATGGAACCTAGGGCTTTGAGGATGCTTGGCAAGGACTCTGTCACTGACCCACATCCCCAGTCCAGAGACTGCATTTTAACAAGATCCCCACATGATTCTTCTGTATGTTAAACTTTGAGTAAATTAAGTTAGAACTGAATCTGTAACTGAGTGCTTATGGACTTCAATACTTCTACTTTTGTGGTTCACAAAGGGTACCAAAGATTTCCTCAGCAAAAATTGATTAATAGTTATTTTCTTCCCATAATTGGAGGGGAAGGTTAATTAATAGATCTTTGTCAGTTTAAGTTTTCCACCATATATTTGTCTTGAAAACTTGGTACTTTGTTAACATTTGTCCTTCCTGGTGTCTAGTACTGTAGTCCTGGCCACACATGAGAAACCACCTAGAGAATTTAACTTATTTTTCCAAGCCCTGCCCAAGGTATTCTGATTTAGTTGGTCTGGTGATGGACCCCTTGCATGGACAATTTTTTCTTAAAGCTACTCAAGTGATTCTGCTGTGAAGTGTAAAGTTGAGAACCCTAAGCTAGTATTTAGTACTTTTTAGGCATGGTAAATTTTTTTTATGGCATCCTTTAATGAGCACCGTGGCTTTTAGGTGCTCTGTCATACTTGAGAAGCCATATTCTATGGATATAGAATATATCACTCAGGCAAACATAATAGAGAAAGGTTTCCTGTTGATCTGTGTCCCCCAGAGCCATTGTGTCTTTCTCTGTGTTGTTAAGGTGATTCAGATTAACTGATGATTTGTCTTTGTATCAGAGTTAGTATCATTTTATATTAGTTTGATTGGTCTATACTTTCCCAAATTCACCTTAAATTTGTTAGAAGCCGACTGTACAATCTCTTTTATTTTTATGCTTTTCAGACCTTTAAGTCAATTACATTGACAGCTTAATTCTCAAAGGTGTGCCCAAACGTCATTGTTATACCATTATGAGAGGCATTTGCTTCTTTGGAATGATCAGATCAAGGAATCAGATAGATGACTCATCGCTTCTGGGCCCCTCCCTTCTGTAGTTAAAAAGTCAGGATTCTGGACACAAATGTATAATAGATTCAAAGAAACGTTTTAATTTTGCTCTTTTTTTCTTTTTCAGAGCATGGACAGAACATCAGGAATATGGATTAATCATTGATGGTTCTACATTGTCACTCATACTAAATTCTAGTCAAGACTCTAGTTCAAACAATTACAAAAGCATTTTCCTACAGATCTGTATGAAGTGTACTGCAGTGCTCTGCTGCCGGATGGCACCACTACAGAAAGCCCAGGTAACTGTGGATACCAGTTAAGGACACATTCTGGGTCTTTCTATATGCCTACATGCAAATGTTTGGTTTACTTTTGTTTCTTCTTCAGGGAACCATTATTGCCATCTAATTTCTTCTTCCCTGGCTTCTTCTTTCTCTTTTTAATCAAACTCAAGTGGCTTCCCACGAATTACTTTAAACCTATGTTGTATGTTGTCCCTTTGACTGTCCAGTTTCTCACCTTCCAGGCTTCTCTTAAGAGCACCTGAGAGTGCCTAGACTTCCTTCATTTCACCCTTCCTCATTCCCCTCAGACATTAGCCCCATGTATTCTGTTCGTTTGCTCTCACTACTCTCCTGGCTTTCTTGCAGGCAAGCTGGTCCAATCCTTACATTAACTTTGTTTTCTCATTTCTCTAGTGCAGTTGTCAATTACATCCTCTTTAAAACTCTTCTTCCTTGATTTTATGATGATCCGCAGTCCTCCCCTCTTTGGTAACCTAGGATCTTTTATTTTATCTGCTCTACTCTCCCTGAATATCAGTTTTCCCTTGTGAAGAGTCCTCCCTATACCTCTTATTTTATGGACTGTCTTGGTTGCACATCTGTTTCTGTTTCAGTGGTACATCTTTGGCCCTTTTTTATGTTAAATCTTCTATTTCTACCTGTTTGCTAGACAGATTCATATGGCTTCCCCACTGTCACATTAAATTCTAGTGTCTAAAACAGACTTTACAATTTTTTTCTTTAGACCAGTTTTTTTTATATTATTCTTTTTACTGGTGCTGCTTTTCTTTTGCTTCCTAAATCTCAAAACTACTTTTGATCCTTCTTTCCTTCTCTATTTGTAGCCACCATGTCCTGTTGCTTCTATCTACCCTTTGTCATAGCTTATTTTTGTGCCATCCTTTGAAACTTTTTATTGCCAATTTAGGTCAAACACTTACAACATTATACATAGACTATTTGATTTAATCTCCTGGCCTCCTTGCTTTCACCCTTCCTTCTTTGACCTTTTTCCCATACTCCCCAATTAATCCTCTTAAAATACTATTCTTCTCATATTCATCGACACTTTCAGTGATATGACAATCCCTTAGGATGGATTGCATATGACTGAACAAAATACCTTGCCTCCCCCTTGTTCTCTTTCCTCCACTGGAATTCTTTCTGAATTCCTGTGGCCGAAAACATTTTTCCTTACAATAGAACTTAGATCAAGGGCCACCCTCCCATATACTACCTTCTTCAGCTCCTCTCAGTGTAAATGGATATGCTGAACCCAGTGTCTTTTCTTTCTATGACTGAGTTCATTATATTCCCAAGTGCCTAAACTCAAAACCTTGAAATCTGTGTTGACTTCCCTCATACTTTATTCTTTTTATTTATTTATTTATTTATTTAGGTACTGGGGATTGAACTAGGTACTTTGTGCAGGCGACGGAACCATTGAGCTAAATCTCCAACCCCATACTTTATTCTTATATGTGATCACATCTCCAGATTCTTTTTTTTTTTTTGAGGCAGTGTCTCACTATGTAGTTGAGACTGACCTGGGACTCACTATGTAGCTCAGGCTGGCCTTGAACTCACAGCAGTCCTCCTGCCTCAGCCTCTCAAATGCTGGGATTACAGGCATGCGCCACCACACCCAGCCAGATTCTGTTTCTAATAGCTTATTTTAGTTGCTCTAGTCTTTTCCATCTGTTATTCCTTCCTTTCTATTACTTTGCAGGGCCAGATTTGTAATAACTTATGAAACTCCACCTAACTTCTCTTTTTTCCGGATCTTTCTTTTCTACAGTTCTCCTGTACCATTCCCTGTTGATCTAGCTTCAGATATGTCTGTTCGTGCTCCCTATATGAAAAATCATTGATCTGGTCATGCCAGATCTATTTTCTGAGCACAGACTATACAATACTTATTTGTCTTTGTGCCTTTGAGTATGCTATTCCTTTTCTCTGGAATGCTCCCTTCTTCCTCGTTCATGCTAATCTTATTCATATTTCATGGTGAACATCACACTTCTTTAATGCTTGATAACTTTGGCTTCTAATGTCTCACCCTTCCCTGATATCATAGGCCTTCTTATGCAGACAGCTTTAAAGACATGTGTTGGTGCACAAATACCATGTTTTATTATCTCGTATTATATCTAATATAATTGTATTCATGACTAATCTCTATTACATGCTTTAGTTTTGTGACCAAACCTTTTATCTTTTTTTTGGATCTTACACCATTCCTTTGAACAGTGTATTGAATGCCATTATAGTTGATGAGTTACAAGTTTTTGGTAAAAATTATTTCTTTCATGAAACTTATCCTAGATGTCAAGAAGCCATTCTTAATTTGGATGGCCTGAGGGTATACATGGTTTACCTAACCCAACTGTTCATGATGACGGCCCTTGATTATGTATCTTATTTTTCTTTTTTTTTCCTCATTGAGTTTATTGGTACATTTTAGGTATACAGTACAGTTAACGTTCATCATTGGAATCTTATACCTTTACATGACAGGTCTTGGTTCTCCTTTTTTCCCCTTGTCCCTGCCCTCCCTTCACCCCCTCTTCCCCTCCGCCTTTACAAACATTTTATTTCCATTTTTTCATTTTCTCCTATTTTTTCCTTTCCCGTATTACCTTTCCCCTACCCTTCCTACTTTCCCTACACCTTTAGCCCTCTTCTTCCTATTTGACATTGTCAGTTATCTCATTAGGATCTTGTGTACTCTTTTTATTTTTCTACAAGGACAAATATTTTAATCTAATCTATATTTTCATGCAAAGGTTGTCACCTTTACAATTTTATTGCCTTTCTCTAGACCTGCTCTGGCTGCAGTTTTTATTACTTGAAGTCCAAATTACTGCTGTACATGATGTAATAGATGTACTTAGTCAACTAGTGTTGTAGTCCATCAAAAACATTTAATTTGGCTTCTTTAAGTTTGTCCTTGTTACAGGTTATTTCAGACCATCTTATATGCTCTAAAGTTTTTTGTTTTTGTTTTTGTTTTCTTGGTACTGGGGATCAAACTCAAGACCTTGCGCTTGCAAGGCAGGCAGTGGAAACCACTGAGTTAAATCCCTGGCCCTATACTCTAAAAGTTTTTAAGAACTAAATCACATTAAAGGACTGGGAAAAAGCTGGCATTTCATAGTCCCATCATTTTTGTGTTAAATGGAATTGGATGTAGTTTTTTGTTTTTGATTTTGCTGATTAGTACAACTAAAATCTGACTGAATTTTGTTTAAAGAAAAGATTGCAGGGTGCCTTCACCTCATGTATATTATTTGTATCACTTCAGTTATGTTTAAATGGATGTCATTTATGTTAACTGGTCAGCTTCTACAAAGCATTTATGTAACTACTAAATCATTTAAGCATTATTAAGGCTGCTAAATTCCAAGGGGTTTTGACAGTTGACATAACAAGCAGTGATTATCTGAAACATAGAGTGGTAGGGCAGCTGTTTACCCAATACTTCCCACAAGTTAGTCTGCCAGGAGAAGATTTTGAAGAACCCAAAGCAGAAATGTTTTAATATCAGGGATGAACGTTTTATTCATTATGGCCCATGAATATAGCACTACATTATTTTCACATCTTGAAAATTCTCAGGAAATAGTGACAGGCTTTGTACATATATATTTTGAACATCTTTCTGCAGATAACACCCCCTTAGGATTCCCCTTTGAAAGTAGGAGAAGGCACACCATATCGGATAGTGGAAAATTCACTAAAGTTTACTTAGCAGCCAAATGGGTACAAAATTTTAACATAAGTTCCTAGGAAAAAGGGTTAGAGTGATCTTAGGGGAGACAGGAGAGTCACCAGGAAGGTGAGAGTTAGAGGTAACCAATGCATTATTTTCTGACTCTCCATCTTTTTTCTGGTGGCCATGTACATGTTACCCCAAATCAGTTTTATGTCCTTCACTCTCATGCATTGAACAATGAAGTAATTGCAAAAGAGGGAGACATGTTGACTTCTGTATGCATGGGAAGCAAGGTTTTTGAAAATTTATGTATGCACAGAACCAGAAACGAGTGATGGTATTACCTTTTCAAAGGCTGTATTTATTCTCTTGCATCTGAGAATTGAAGACTGTCATACATATATGCAAAAACTACCTTTCTATTTGCAAAGCCTCCATTTACAAGTATGAATGAAGCATAAACCTCTAAGGTAGTCCAGTCTACATGCTGCTTTGACTTTTTCTATACCTCCTTTGTATTTCATGTTTAGATTGTCAGAATGGTGAAGAATTTAAAAGGCAGCCCAATAACACTGTCGATAGGTGATGGTGCCAATGATGTTAGTATGATCCTGGAGTCCCATGTGGGAATAGGTAAGAAACATCTATTGAGATAGTAGCTATAAGTTATTGATATTGCTATTTTAGGTAGAATCCTCTTATAATCTCTAGATTTGTTTTGGTTGTTGATCTTGAGTTAGATTTGGGAGTGATAATTACTAATACAATAAAAAGTCTCATTTGATAATGAGCATCACAAGGTCTTAGCCCCACAAGGAAGGTACCAAAACAAAGTTAGAGTATATTTTTACAATTACCAAGGAAAATGGATTTCCTAAAGCTACTGGCAACACAATTGATTGTTAGCTTTCATTTTGACAGCATGCATGAAATTTTATTGATTTTTCTACCCCCCAGCCACACTGATTGCTTATGTTGCTGTACTATATCTTTTGAGATTCTTAACTATTAGGGGCTGTGAAATAATAATTGATTGGCTTGTTTTCCACATGATGGCATTTATGGGTAGTTTGGGCTACAGTGTTGAATTTATATGTGGTCATGCAATACCTTTTCTACCACCGGTACCATATTTTTCCCCTGTCAGGATGCTATTAGATAATAAACGTAATACCCCAGTGATTTTTTTGGCAGTGGTTTGGAGGCATATATGCAATTAATATCCTGGGAATTGCTGTACTGTGGTTTAGAGTCTCAATTTCTTTCCATTTGGAAGTAGACCTATTTATCTGGAACTCTTAAGTTCTACCCATTGATCATCAAATGTAGAAATGGCTTTGAGCTTCTTGAGCCCACAGAATTCTTGGGCAGCTAGTCAGAGCTTTGTTCAATAAATGGGCTTCATCTTCGCATTGAATTCTTAGGCCACAAAACCCAAGCCTCTGAATTGCTGTAGCACCAAATTTAGTGTCATGCACAATTAAGCACTTACTGGGTGCATTATAAACAACTTTAGATGGAATTTTGCCATTACAATTTTGCCTTGTAATGGTTGAGATTATTATTTATTTTATGTTATATTACAGATAGCTAGCAATCCATTAAACTTAGTAATACTTTTATTTGATTACTCTCACTGTAACTTCAAGAAAGCCCTCCTTGATTAAAAAAAAATCAAAGCCAAACTATGCAGTTGACCAGTAATATTTATGCAGCTTGAAAGTGTGAAAATATATCAGGGGATTACATATTTTCTACGATATTCACCCTATAGACATATTCTCTTTTTAGGTATTAAAGGCAAAGAAGGTCGCCAAGCAGCCAGGAATAGTGATTATTCTGTTCCAAAGTTTAAACATTTAAAAAAACTACTGTTGGCTCATGGACATCTGTACTATGTGAGAATAGCACATCTTGTACAGTATTTCTTCTATAAGGTATGTAATAGAATATTTGTAATTTAATTTCTCACTGCTTAAACCAGCATTTGCTCAGCTTGGTCATGGTATTGCTCTTCCTTTCTCATGTTTCTTTTGCTGGTTTGAAACTAAAATTTTCTCTCAGCAAAGCAGCAGCAGTCTGTTAAATGAACTAGAAATCCGATATTCCTTTGGATTTCAGATGTTTGAGATTAATTTTATGTCAACTTTGTTGAAGTGAAAATTAATACAGTAAAGTTTATTCATTAAAATTGTATAGTTTCATGAGTTTTGATAAATGTACCCATTCATGTAAGCACCACCCAATAAAAAAAAATATAAAGTTGCATCTCTCCAGGAAGTTCTCATGTGTTCCTTTTCAGTTTCTGTCCTTGCCCCAAACAACTAATGATTTGTATTATTAAATCATATATAGTGACATATTATATAGAATATGTAGATCGATCTCATACATACAATATACACATTAGTTTTTCCTGTTCTAGGACTTCCTATAAATAGAATCGTGTACTTTTCTGTGTCTGGCCTCGGTTTCACGTAGCATAATGTTTTTGAGCTTCATCTATGATTATCATGTATCTACAGTTGGTTCTTTTTAAGCTACTTTTTTTTAGTACTAGAATTCCCTGTTTACATGAAATTACACAGATAAAGCAGATGGAAGTAAGAGTGTACTGACTGAAGGGTAATAGAGCCTGGGCTGTTCACTTGATCAATCTCCTTATCCTGCACAGGGGTTCCTTAGAATTTGGAATCTATGAATTTAATTTAAGCCACCTACTTTATACAAATGAGCCTTGGCATACCTGAAAGTAAAACGATTGCACTAAGGTATAGAAATCATCATAAACTGATACAGGCTATAGAATTTGATACCCTGTCCTGTGTTTTGCACAGTAGTGTCAAATTTTGGGGGGCTTTTTACTTTCCAGTAATTTAGACTTTTAAACAGTTAAAAAGTTAACAAAATAATTGTCATATACTTTGTCTGGCTTTGTCAGCTGTTACTGACTTAGATAGTCTACAATATAGCAATCAAAATCATCAAATTGGTACAAATTAGCATATTATTAACTAGTCCACGTACAGTACTACATTCAAATTTCATTGATGTTCTTTTTGTTGTTTGTTTCTTTTTGAATTCACACTTGCATTTAAACTGTCATGTCTTCTTAGTCTTCTTTAATTACTGTAATTTTCGTTCCCTAAACCTATGATTCTGATTCAACACCACATTCTAGATTTTTCCTTTTTCTTATTTGTAATTCCTTTCTTCAGTAATGTGAAATCTTATTCTCATCTACAAATACATGTTCCTGTTTTCTTAATCTTAGAATACACTTGAAGTGGTTTTAGAATTGCTAACATATACTTCTGTTGAGAAACCAACTTGAGCATATAGTATTTGTGTGCCATTCTTTTTCTTTTCTTAATTGACAAAATTTTATGTATGTGATCTACAACATGATATTTAGATATATGTATACATTGTGGGAAGACTACATGAAGCTAATTAACATATGTCAATTCATAGTTTTCTTTTTTGTGCTATAAACACCTAAAATCTATTCTTTTAGAAATTTTAGGTATACAATATCTTGCTCACTATAGTTATCATGATAAACAATGCAGTTCTTGAAGTTAATCCTCCAGTCTAACTGCAATTTCGTATCCTTTGACCAACATCTCAGTGCACCTGCAGCCCCCATCCTCTAGTAACCACCATTCCACTTTTTATTTATTTATTTATTTATTTATATTAGTTTTATCTTTTTGATAGCAAGGATCGAATTAAGGACCTTTTGCTTGCAAGGCAGGCATGGCACTGCTAAGCTAAATTCCTCCCCCCATTCTACTTTGTATCTCAGTGAGATCAAGCTTTTTAGGTTTCACCTCTAAGTGAGATGATGTAGTGTTTGTCTTTCCATTTCTGGGTTATTTCACATGACACAGTGTCTGCGTTCTCCGCATCATCACAGACATTCTGTGCAGCACTTTCTGTCTTTCTTTAGCCTTAAAGTATGTAGGTAAAATTCTACTTTAAGTTGCTTTTTTCTTTTCTACCACGTGAGTATAGTTAGGTTATTTGTTAACAAATTGGGTTTCTTTTAAATTTTTTAAATTTTAAATTTTAATTTTGAAGGAGGGTCACTAAGTTGCCCAAGCTGGGCTCAAACTCATGATCCTCCTGCCACAGCCTCCCAAAGTGCTGGGATTACTGTCATGTGCCGCTATGGCTGGCCTCTTACGTTTGGTTTAGTTTTGAAGAGATGGATCCATCTATGTTTATGTTACCCAAGCTGACCTCGAATTTCTGTCCTCTACTGATCCTCCTACTTCATCCTCCCAAGTAACTAGGGCTATAGGCTTTACCACCTGTTTAAATTCCATTTGTGTCCTTTCCCTCTCTCTATTCCTGATTTTTTATAATTAATTTTTTGAGTGTGTGGAACATTGGCATGGTTTTAAAAGAACTATACCCAAAAGTCCAATTTTGTACTTACCTAATTGCCTGTAAGCATACCAACTGAAAGAACCAATGTTAGCATTTTCTCATGAGATCTTCTAATGTTTTGTCTGTACAAATCACTGTGTATATGTGTGTAAACGCATGCTTTTCATATACTATATATGGGTTTTTTATTTGTTTGATTTGATTTCTGATAGATTACATCACTACATTACTTGGGCTAACCTCTAACTTCTGGTCTTAAATTGTCCTCCTGCCTCAGTCTCCCTACTCTGGGATTACAGATGTGTGCCACCACATCCAACTCACATGAAGGTGTTTTGTTTCAGATATAGTTAACATAACAAAATTATCCATTTTAAAGGGTACATTTCAGTGACTTGCCATGACATACAACCGTTACCATTACCATTATCTAATTCTGAAACATTTTTATCACTTAAAAGAAACTGTAGGAACAATATATATTGTTTTTCAGTTCACCTTTTCACTTGATATATCATGAGCATTTTTCTCACTAAGTTTAATAATCTAAAACACAATAATTGTGCAATATCCCAAGGCCTCATTATTGGACAACAAGATTGATTTCCCAGTAAAACTTTTTGCCATCGAACATTAGGCTGAGTGTGCTCACCCATTATTTTCTACCAGTGAATAGAATTTACCAAATTTCTTAATAGATTCCAACTATATGTATCAGGATCTTTCTTTTTTCCCTTAATTTTCTAATATTTTGCTGTGCATGCTAGATGAGTACTCTACCACTGAGCTGCATCCCCAGGCCTATATGACAGAAGTTACTCAAGTATTTGAATTTTATACCCTGTATTTCATAGGAGGGAAAGCCAAGTAGCAGCTGCTCATGTGTGTCAATTGTCTACGATTAACACTTGGTCTCTTTCTTATTGTTTGGCTGGAGGGGTGAGATGGGGTCTTGCTATGTAGTTCAGACTGCCCTTGAACTCACTGTGTAGCCTAGGCTGGCCTTGAACAGCAACCCTCCTGCCTCAGCCTTCCAACTACTAGAATTATAAGCATGCACCACTACGGTTGGCTAGGTCTTTCTTGTCATTGTATTATTACGTATATATCCCAGATTCAGAGATTTGCTAAGACCCTGCAAGTCAATATCTCGTGGTAGCCAGGTCAAACACTGAGGAGGAGGAATAGGAATATAATTATGATGATGATGATAATGATAATCCAATATGTGTAAAGTACTTTGTTGTTTGACAAGAATACTTGAATACTTTGTTTACTTACTTATGTAATCCTCACAAACCTCCTATGAAGTGAACAGTATTATCTCAGTTTAAAATGCGTGGAGGGGCCAGGGGTTTAGCTCAGTGGTTGCACCGCCTGCCTCGCAAGCACAGGTCCTGAGTTCAATCCCTGGTACCAAAACAATAAAATACATGGAAAGTAGGTAGGGCACAGAGAAATGACTTAACTTGCTTTGGCTCCTCAACTGAGGCGTGAGCTATATTTTCACCATTTGTTTATTTATGATTTCTACTTGAAACTAAGGTCTCTAGGCCCTTGAACTCTGTAACTGATGGTCCCACATGGGGTTGAATAGTTATTCTTTCTTGGCCTCCCCCTAGTAGGAGGCCCCATAAAGGTTTGTCAAACAGATCTGCCTGTAATCTGTCCCTATTCCAAAGGCTTGGTTTGTGTGTAGGCCTGCAATTCAAGCAGCTGCCACCAGATGGAAGGAATGCTCTGTTAAGAAGAATTAAACATGCGTTAACTTGACAAATAATTGACCAGTGGTCAGCAATTGACATGTCCCTGTTCCCAGCATAGGCAGTTGAGGATTTAACATGTAGGTGATGCCCTGTCTTCGTTGGGATTTTGGGTCCATTATCCTATTTGTCCATTATCCACTGTTCCTTTTATGATGCTGTTTTTTGTCCCAAGAGGATTTCTAATAGTTTCAACCCTCTTTGGGTAAACTAAGAAGTCTTTTCCTCTTTTCTGATCACTGCATCTTCAAATTAGTACTACCCCACTCCTGGAGCACTTCAATTTCCTCATTCAATCCTCGCTTTGTAATTCAGCCAAGTTCATATTAACTAATCTGTCTTTTAAGGCACTTCCCCAGACTGACCCTCTCTTACTATCTATGTATAAAATACTGCCTTACCTAGGTTCCTTCTATTGATATTTTCTGTTCATTTTTATCACCAGGTCAAGTACTAACTGCTTTATTCAGACAGCAAATATGCTTTGAGTGTTACCATGTGCTAAGCACTGTTTAAGTCCTCTGGGTATACAGGTTCCCTCTACCCGTCATGAAGTACCACCATGATCCTCACTGAACTCTGCTTTCTGCAACCTCAGAACACTTTTTTTTTTCATAAAATTCGACACAGAAATACTGTGAACAGTGTTTGTACTATATCAGAACTGATAAATACAAAGGAGTGTTTCTCTTCTAGATGATAACCTTGGGGGCTCTCATGTTTATTCTCTTGCTGTGGAGGCAATTCCAAATATATGCACAGCATTTCTTTAGCAGCACCCTCCAGAGCCTGTAGTACATTTATCTTGATATCGTCACCATGACAAATACTCATTCTATGAGGGTGCATTTGACTTTCAAAATAGCCCAAGTCTCCCAGAGCTAAATCTAATGAATTAACTGAGACTAGGTGACAGAAGGAAGGACACTAGCTTGCTGACATGGCTCCAAATTGGACTTGTGCAAGTGCTTCCCAAAGAGAAGTCCAGGGACATCACAAACAATTGATAGCAATATCCAGATAAGCTCATAGCTTTCTTTGAAGGATAACAGCTACTTGAAAATCCTAGTTTTGGAGGTTCTGACTAAAGATGTATTCAGTATTTTATACACACATACTTCAATGTCTTTTAACTGCCTTATGAATTCCTGGCATGTATTTTTCATGTTTGTTTCTAATATTCCTCCCATTAAATGGTAAGTCCCTTAGGAGAAAAAAGTTTGCTCATTTAGATGTCACCAACCATGCCATGTTTGCGTATGATAGGTGCTCAGCAATAATGTTTATTGGATGATAGAGCAGTAATAAAGGCAGCAATGCATTAGTTGGTAATGTTAGTGCGGATATAATCTATAAAACTGTTCTATTAGTATTCGTTGACTTTACTTTTATTAGTACATGTTTGCAGTGCATAGTGATTATGTTCATCAGTGGGAGTTGGTACCTGTGTATAACACTTCTGAATTACTTTTCCATCCATTTTGACATTAAAATGTACAGTTAAGGCACTATATACTTCTGTGTTGACTGTGCAAATCTAATTGGAATTTAACATTACAGTATCATTAGATGTTCATATTGAATACTCTCATTTCTTTCCTAGAAGAATAGCAAGAGTTGTCAAAGTAAGTTTGGTGGGGAAAAGTTTGTCTTAATATGATGTAATAATTTGTTTTTTAGTTTCCTTATATCTTTGGAATAGAGATTTTTACATCATTATAGATTTAGGAATGAGTGTAGACTGTTGGTGTATAGTTTTCTGTTTCAGTTTAGCAAGTTGATCAGTGTAAGATGAAAATGTTAACCCTTATCTTAACTTTTTTTCAGAACCTTTGTTTCATTTTGCCACAGTTTTTGTACCAGTTCTTCTGTGGATTCTCACAACAGGTTTGTGTCCTAAGTTACTTATTGTAACATAATTTGCATTTGCTGTTAATGTGTTACCTTTTAAATATTGAATTACAAGGATTAGAGAGGTATACTCAAAATAAAAGAATTTTGGGGGCTTCAATAATTGATCTCCTTGGCCTGGTTTTTGAGAGGAGCAGATGTTTTTGTCTTTGCATTACTAATTTTCTTGTTCCTTTCTTCTTGAAAGGTTTTTAATACATCCTTGTAGGGTTGATATAACATTCAAAAAGAGTATTTCTATTTTTTCTTTTTAACAGTGTACAAAAGATGTTCCATTTGTCCTGTAATGTTACAGCCTTTCATCAAATAAAATCTCATACCATTACAGTTTCACTGATTGATTTTATAGAAAAATGTTAATTTTTAAACCAGGCCAGAATGCTGTTTTTCACCGATAAAGTCTTAGATTACTGAAAGCAGCTGTAAATGTTTTGTCATCCATTGTCTTCTGAATATTTATCCATAAAAAATATGCTATATACTAACTTGACATTTAGACACAGAAGTGGTGGGATGGGAAGACACACTTAACAACTGAGATGGATTTTACATTGCTTGTTGTGGAATTATAGCCAAATATAAGAACTATGATGTTGAGTTACTCAGAAATTCCCAATTTGAAACTATACTACAAAGCCACTGTGATAAAAACAGCCTGGTACTGGCAAAGAAACAGACCTGAGGATCAGTGGAACAGATTGGAAGACACAAAAACAAATCCAGATATACTCAGCTATCTAATCTTTGACAAAGGAGCTGACCATCCCCACTGTAGGAAAGATAGTCTCTTTAATGAATGGTGTTGGAAAAACTGGATCTCAACCTGCCAAAGATTAAAACTAGACCCTTATCTTTTACCCTGCACTAAATTAAAATCCAAGTGGATTAAAGATCTAAATATTAAAACAGAAACCCTAAACCTGCTGGAAAATAAGTTAGGCGGAACTCTCGAAGACACTGGCATAGGAAAAGACTTTAGAACATGTAGCACGGGAACTAGCAGAAAGAATCAACAACTGGGTTCTCATCTTATTAAAAAGCTTCTGCACTGCAGAAGAAACCATCAACAGAACTAGAAGACAACCTACAATGTGGGAAAAAAATTTTACCAGCTGCTCCTCAGACAAAGGACTATTATCTAGAATATATAAAGAACTCAAAACAATCAGCCCCTCCAAATATAAAGACCCGATTCAAAAATGGTCATCTGAAATGAACAGACATTTCTCAGACAAAGAAGTAAAAGCAGCAAGTAAATATATGAAAAAAATGCTCCACATCACTGTCTTTCGAGAGATACAGATGAAAACAACACTGAGATTCCACCTCACCCCACAAAGAATGGCTGCTATCAAGAAATCAACCAATAACAAATGTTGGCAGGGCTGTGGAGAGAAAGTATCCCTTCTCCATTGTTGGTGGGAGTGTAGACTGGTGCAACCACTATGGAAATCAATATGGAGATACCTCAAAGAGCTGGGACTAGAGGTTCCATTTGACCCAGCCACCCTCTGCTGGGTATCTTTCCAAAAGAATTAAAAGAATCATATTACAGTGATGTATGTGCAAGTTCTGATCAATTTGCTTTCTTGTGCATTCAAATTTTTGTTGATCAAAGTATTGATAATTCTCACTACCCTAGGTGACTACAGATATTAAAAAGATAATTCAAATTTTCTTTCATAACTGATTTTAGCAGAATATTAAAGGGAAGTTGGCTTCATTTGGTAGAAATAGTGTTACTTTGAAAGGAGTCACCTTCATTGTTCCGCTTTTAAAAGATATTTATTTAGCAAGCACAGATTTTATAAAGAAAGGATGTATTTTTTATAAAACCAGTTGAAAATACAGACTCTGGACTGTATTCAGTCTGCTTCAGTTACCTAACTGCTTTAAGTTTCCATAGTAGTGGCATTTAGCTTCCTCAGTCACTCAAATGGTAGGTATGTTTATTCATTTGACAAACATTTCTTGACTGCATTCTTTGTGCTAGGCTAAGTGCTGAGAATATAGAAGTGATCAGAAGAAACTCCTTAGCGAGAATGGTGACACACACCTGTAATCGCAGCACTTCAGGGGTCTCCGCAGGAAGGAGGATCACAGCTTAAAACCTGGCCTGGACAACTTAATGAGATCTAGTCTCAAAGTTTAAAGCGGGGGAGGTACTGAGGGCATAGCTTAATACAAAGGTCCTGGATTCAATCCCATACCGCGACAATAAAAAGAAAGTACAGGAAAATGAAAAAGGAAAGAAAAACTCCTTTACCCTTGTGGAACTTGCTGTGTGATGGCAAGGCTGAGGCAGTCAGATGTACGATGTGGGATACTGATACACACTCTGAGGGAAACTAGATTGTGACTGAGCAGAGGGCTGCTGGCTTTGAGAAGATGATCTGGGAAGGTCTGATGAGGTGATATCTGGGCAAAGACTTGAGGAGCCGCAGGTAGGAGCTCTGCAGACAGCTTACAAGAAGTGTTAACCAGGTAGAAGAAAGGCCTCTCCAAGGTGGTCCTGTGAAGTGCCAAATCTTTCTCTTTGAATATGGTCTTGTACTAGTACTAAAAGTAGCCACCTTTATTAGAAGTATCTTTGGAGTATATGTGGGTAGTCAGCTTTTTTTCAATCTAGAACCACAAAGGTGTTCTTTGGAATTCAGGGAGCAGACTATCAAGAATGTACAAAGGAAAAAAAAAAAAGAATGTACAAAGGAGACCAGGATTCAGGTTCTTTAAGCAAAAAGCCTTTCTTTAGTAAAGTTAGGATCATACTTGTCTTTTTTTTTTATCTTCATGGAAAAAAGCATTGTAACAAGTGTAATAAGAAACAGTATTATCAACTAAACTTGTTCTGGGGACATTCTTCTCTAGTTATGCATCTAAGAATTACCTTAAAGTACTGTAGTGAAACAAACAGATTGATACTTCTTTTGTTTGAATGAAATTCCAAACTAAATTACACACCAGTCAATCCCATTGGTAGTGTTGTTTTAATTTACTCATTAGTGAAAATGAATAGTCTCCAAAGCAAATGTAATGTCATATGCCACAAACTGATCCTCTCCCTTGAGAATTAAAAGGATTATAACACTTTTTTGTTTAATTCAATGAAATGTTTTTGCTCTTTAATTATTTGTTTATTAAAAGTATGTGGGAAGTGCCTCCATGATCTATGTAGAATTATCCTACTCTTAATTTTACTGAGAATGTTGCGTGCATCATTGTCTTGCTTTTTTTCTATTGCAGGCCAGAATAGTAGTCCTTTTCTCAGGATTCCCCAGCTCCTTGTGCATCCCCTGCTCTGCCTCTCTGTCTAGCTTTGAGTTCCTTGGTGGGCAGGGATGAATCATCTCTATTCCCAGTATTTAGCACTTAATAGGCATTTAGTATATGTGCAGAAATCAACTAATGAATGAATTTATGCTCTGTTTAAGTACAGTAAGTCCCCTACTTATGAACGTTTGAGTTGTGAACTTTCACAGAAAAGAACAGACCTCTCACTGGGAACATTTGTAGATGCAAACAGATGGCAGAAGTAGCTCACATGTCTGTCCAACACTCACAGCTGTGCTGCTGTGTGCTTACTATATAGTATGATAGTGTACAGTACTACAGTGCTCCGTCAGAGCCTAGGCTGTCTGGAGGCAAAGAGGGAAAGTAGTGGTGATATAGAGAGGACTGCTGGGAAGCACGAAGCAACTTACATCGTCTATTCATGTCAAAGATGTGTAAGACTCACTTTGTCAGACTTACAAAGAAATTGGAATTACAAAGGTCCTCCCGAAACTGCACTCATTCATAAGTTGGGGACTTCTTATATTCAAATTGTTTCCGACCTTCCATCAGTGTCCATCACGATAGTAAGTGTACCTTGTTTTGTTTTGTTACTGGCCCTTTGAGACAGGATCTCTGTGTAGTTCAGGCTGGCCTCAGACTCAACACATGTACCACCACGTCCAGCAATAATTGTATCTTTAGCCATTGATCAAAAGTACGCAATTATGTTTAATTTTTGTCACATGTATATATGTGGAATATAGATAGGTAGATAGATAGATAGATAGATAGATAGATAGATAGATAGATAGATAGATAGTAAGATAGTATTATTCAGTTCTCCGAAAATGGTTATATGACAGTGTCTGGAGCACTTTGCAAGTGTACTGAACTTAATCAGAGTGCAGTGCATAAAATGTCTTCAATTTTTTCAATAAAAGGATATTTGTATATCATTCCTTTAAAAATGTGTTATAACTCCCAATCTGTACTCCTTTATTCAGTATTTATTGAGTGCTTTCTGTATGCCAAATTGTGTTTGGAGAACTCAGAATTGTCAAAGTCTTCTGGTGAAAGAGCACTAGGAGCATACATGCAGTTGATCAAACTAGGCTTCTTCCTCAGTTCAGGGAGGAATAACACACATCAGAGGAACTGGAGCCGCTCAGGAAGAGGATGTGAGGAATAGCTTAATACGAGATTTGGACTTGTAAAATATTAACCAGAAACATCTGAATATTACCTAAAAACAACTAAAACATTAACCAGAAAATTTTTTTAAATGTGGAATAGGCTGACTACTGCCTATTTTTTGCTTCTCTAAGGACTCCTGGCTTTTACTTATTTGGTCTTTGGTGAAATACCTACTGAATAGCTGATTTTCTAGGGACTGAAAAAATCTTACAAAGTCATTATTGTATACTAGTTATAGAGTTTATAGCATGTAAATTCTGAATAAGAGCTTATTAAAGTGAAAAGTATTAATATGGCACATTACAAATCTTGGCTTCTTTTTTGTAGTTATCAGGTAAAATAACTACAGTTCCCTTTACTGTCATAAAAGGCATGGAAAAACTAGTGTTTAGCAACTTTTCTGGATATGTAAATGTTGTAGATGGTGTTTATAGTACATGTGTTTCCTCTATTGTCATTTCAGCCACTGTATGATGCTGCCTATCTTACAATGTATAATATCTGCTTCACATCCCTGCCCATCTTGGCCTACAGTCTACTGGAGCAGCACATTCACATTGACACTCTGACCTCAGACCCTCGATTGTATATGTAAGTTGAACATGTAATTAAAACTCCTTCAGACTGTGTTAGTTGTAGGTTTACTTCCATTCACAGGTAGGAAGGACACAGAACTGCATACCTGGTTTGATGTGGTTCTGTTCTTAGTTTTTAGTTACTAAAACCAGAACATTCAATAGGAAAATGGCATATTTTCTAGGTGTGGGTCCTATACTTGAATGCATAGGAGATACTTAATTCAGAATTACTGATTGTTATAACATGAACCTATCTTATCATAATGTCCTGGTGTCTTACAGGAAGATAATATTTTGATTACCCACCCCTCAAAAAATGCACACACACACACAGATTATTGGTAGTAATTCCTACCTGTAGTAGATTTACTTTGACAAGGTTATATTGCCCTCTTGTAAATTGCATTAGTTAAAATTAGAAGCATTAGTTGCCTCTTTAGTTAACACTATTCTAAAACTGTTTTGTTGAATAATTGACTCATCAAGATGTTATATTCATTTTGTGTCAGTTGAAAATAGATTCTTTTCTTTATGGATGAGGGACTTGGCACTAACCCCAGTTGTTTAACCTATGATTTAATTGGATTCTTAGAAGGTAAACCTACAGCTAAGGAGAAATATATTAATTTACAGCAGATTATACGCTTTGCTGTGTAATGGGTAGAAATTGTAGTACAGAGGTTCCCATGGTTTATTTGCATGAAATGAAAGTGCACAATATGACTTACAAAACTTATATTTAGCATTTTTTTGGTATTATACAGATTTGTAATTTACCGTCGTTTAAAATATATTAAGGAAAATTTCAAGCGTACACAAATGTGTAGACAACATTTTTTGTTTTTTTGATACATAAAACTTAACAACATAATATACTTTTATTATGTGATATTTCTTACATTATTCCTTGCTCTCCTGTGCAATAGCAGCCCAGAGTTTGCTCCTACCATCCTATAACTTATTACCCATCAACCTTTACCCATCCCTCCCATGCCCTGTTCTCCCACCCTGTGGTAACTACCGTGCTACTCTCTTCTGTAACATTGACATTGTTTGAGTTCCACATATGAGGGAGATCATGTGATACTTGTCTTTCTGTGCCTGCTTTATTTTACTTAACATAATGTCCTCCAGTTTCATCCATTTTGCTGCAAATGGCAAGATTTCATTCTTTTTATGTCTGAATAGTATTCCATAGTGTATAGGTTCCTACCACATTTTCTTTATCTTTTGTCCATTGATGGACACATGAGTTGATTCCATATCTTAGCAATTGTGAGGACTACTGCAGCCAACAGGAAGTGGAACTTTCTCTTCACCATACAGATTTCCTTTTCGTTGGCTAATGTGATTGCTGGATCACACAGCAGTTCTATTTTTAATGTTTTGAGGAAACTCTATTCTGTTTTTCATAAAGACCTTACTGATATATATTCCCACCAACAGTGAAGAAGGGAGGATTCCTTTTTTTCTACATTCTTCCTAGCACTTGATATCTTTTGTATTTTGGTAGCAGCCATTCTTGCTGGAGGTAATAACTAATTGTGGTTTTGGTTTGATTTCACTGCTAGTTAGTGATGGTGAGCGCTTTTGCATATGCTTGTTGGCTATTTGTCTTTTAAGAATTGTCCATATAAGTCTGTTTAGGTTTTTAAATTGGGTTATTTATTGTTTTGCTATTTTTTAGAATTCCTTACATATTCTTTATATAAATCCCTTGTCAGATTTATAGTATGTTGTCTCTGCACTTTGTTGATTGTTTTCAATGCTGTGCAGAAGCTTTTTACTTTGATAAAATCTCATTTGTCTAGTTTTGCTTTTGTTTCCTGTTTTTTTTTTTTGAAGTCCTATGCAAAAAAATCCTTGCCCATTCTAATGTCCTAAAGCATTTCCCCAATGGAAAACCCTATTTATAAAGTGAACTTCCCTATCCTTACCACGCAGCTTCAAGAACTGTCAATTCATCAACAGACCCATTCCATTAGTAACCTAGTTACTCTATCACAGGTTTATTTTGAAGCAAATATCAAAACTGTAAAAAATAGTTATTTCAGTATATCTCTTAAAGATAAAGACCTAAAAATAACTGCCTTATCACTTAAATTTAACAAGTCCTTAATGTTATAACATATCCAGTCAGTGTTCAAATTTCTCCACTTTACTCATTTTTAAATTTAAAAAACTTAGTACATGTTTGCAGTACATAATGATAATGTTCGTTATGGGGGGACCGTGTACCTAACACATCTTAATTTCTTTTACTTCCCCTTCCACGCCTTGCTTCTTTGAATCAGGACCCAAGTATGGTCTGAGGTCTACCTGTACATGACAATTGGATAATACACTTCTTGAGTCTCTCTGAACAACAATTTTTTTGTTGACAAAATCAGATCATTTATGTTGTTAGTTTTTCCCAAGTCTAGAGTTTGCTTTTGGGCTCTTCATAGAATTGTTCAGCTGAGTCCCACATTTTTTTGTAACTAGACGATTAGACCTAAAAGGGAATGATACAATCCTTGATAGAAGTCTTACTTACAGAGCTCATATCCTACACCCTTTTTGAAAAGAGGAACCAGGGCCCAGAAATGACCTGCCTAAGGACACAAGAACATAAGCCAAGATAAAATGTAACTCAGAATTCAGTCTCTCTAGTCAGGTGTAATGGCATCTCCCTATAATCCCAACATACTAGAAGGCTGAGACAGGAGGATTACAAGTTCAAGCCCAGCCTGAGCAACTTAGTGAGTTCCTGTCTCAAAAACAACAACAAAAATAAATCAGTCAATCAATGAGTAAAACAAGTTGGGGGTGTAGCTAAGTGGAAAGACCCTTGGCTTAACCCCCAGGACCCCATACACACACAATCAGTCCTCCTGATGACCAGCCCTGTGCTTTTTGCAGCTGGCCAGTTGTTATCAAACACTGTTTTAACAGCAGCGGTCTTCAGATAATCTAAAGGTGAAACTCAGTATTGCACCTGCTGTAATTTGAAGTGCAGCTTGAGTATATCTGTCCTGTTCAGTGCCAACCCTAACTCTAACCATCTGGCTTCAAATCCTGCCAGTGTTACTTGTAGGTGTCTTGACTGTGATGTGCTTCAGTTCCATTTGCAGTAAAATAGAGGCAATGATAGCCTTTAGTAACAATACTTTTTGTGAGGTTTAAATGAGTCACTACATACAAAAGAACTTAGCAGTGCCTGACACACAGTATGTTTTTAGTAGGTGGTAGCTGTTAGTGTTATTCTAATCCCTACTTCCCCATACTTTCTGGGCTGTGCTGAGCATTTGTATAAATGTAGAATTTTGAAAACTTGAAAAAAAAACCTGTTGGGTACAAAATATAAGGGTTTCCATGAAGTTTTAGTTGTTGCACTGTAGTTGTAGGTCATGAACTACTTAACAATTTGATGTAGGGTATACTTGCCAAACCTGATGCAAAAATAAAGACCATGGTGTTCATACCTATTACCCAGCCCAAAGTGCAACTTTGTACTTATAAGGTAAGATACTTAATTCCTGCTTTGATCAGACAGCCTGTCACTAGACTATAGATTGCTGTTACTCTAATTGCTCCTTTGTAAACATGAAGCCCCAATCTAACTGCATATGACTGTCTCTGCAGTGTACCACTTAATTTTATCAGTAGCATTGTGCAGCATGTTACAGATTTCATCTTTGGGGACTTATTGACTTAAACATTTCTAAATACACTGACATGAAACGAGAACAAATTGTATTATTTTCATATATTTAGGAGAAATTTTAAAAGTAAACTCTATGTCTGTGGAGAGAACAGGTGTAATTTGTTTCTTCTACAACTTGAAAAAGGCAAAAGAAAGGGATCTGGTGTACCTGCTGCCTGTCATTATGTGGAAATGCTCAGACCTGTGCTGCTGCTCAGCCTTTCCCCAGATTGTCATTTTCATTCATGCTTTGCTTCATGTTCGTTGCTCTGTTCCGAGTTTTCAACAACTTCTTCATTCATCTGAATGCAGCTAGAAGGCCTGACCTGTAATCCCGTGATATCCCTGCCATTCTTTGCACTTTAGTCCCTCCCGTGGTCTGTAAAGACGAACCTCTTCCTGCTCTTGCCCTCTTTGTCTTAGTCCAAGCCAATAGCTGAAAAGCCACATTGTCTGGCAGTTGCTGGGTATTCCTTGCAAGGATCTTTAAGGAGTTGCCTTTCCTGTGGTTGCCTAGGAAACATGACTTACTGCCTGTGAAGAGAGCTTGTTTCTGGAAGGCAGCCATTTCTTTCTCCTGCCATTCTTCTAGGACAAACAGCATCCTCACAATTGCAGATTCCTGCATGCACCTGGAAATCTTAATAGGTAGAATTTACATAATTGCCATGTTTTCAGAAATGTCACAGTACTCAATACCAACTGGACAAGAATCAGTTATGTTTACATTATAAATGTATTAATACAGCCCAATTACTTTTCCAGTAGTGTTAGCAATGAGTGTATTATTTGAGTCATGCCTTTTTTTTTGTACCAGGGTTCAAACTCAGGACCTTCTGCTTGCCAGGCAGGCATAGCGCCACTGAGCTATATCCCCAGCCCTTTTGATAACTGTCAAGAGCAATTTGAAATAGAAGCCAAGAGAAATATATACACAAGCCTGTCTTCTTTGCCTTACTCTATTTCATTAGAATTTGCAGTTTTATTTCACATTCTGACTTGTCCTAAGAATATTGTGCTGTTTTTGACAGATTTTAATCTCTCCACCTGCTAGTTATAAAAGCATCATCGTAAGTTCTAAACATGTGATTTGATTCAATGGAAAGCTATAAAGGGCTCCTTAAGAACTTTAGACCTAAGCAAGATTAAATTTCCAAGAAGAACATATGATAAAAGAAATATTTTAACAATAGTAGCTGAAAGTCTTGCTAGCACAGTTGAGAACATGTGCTTTGAAGTCAATTCATTGCAGGACTGCATAGCTCTCTCTTACTGAGTAAACTTTGACACGCTGTTGTACTAGCAGTTCCCTACCTCTACTGTGCATTAGAATCCCTTCTTTAAAAATACCCTGATACTCAGATTGTACCTCCTGCCGCTTAAGTCAGAATGAGAATGAGAGACAGTAACCAGTATTTTTAGTTGACATACATTTGTATTTACTTATGGGATATAGTAGTATAATTCAGTATGCATAGATAGCATGTAATGATCATATCAGGATAATTAGCATTTCTATCACAAATAGTATGCTACTGTGCTGGAAATCTTTAAGCATCTGTGGATATTTTGAGATGTCTAATTATTACAGACTGTGGTTACCCTATTGTGCTATAGGACAGTACAACTACAATTGCTCACCTCTCACTGTATTTTGGTGCCCATTATCTGCCTACACTTTCACCCTTGTCCTCCGCACTCCTTGCTAGCTTCTAGTGACCTCTATTCTACTCTGTTTCTGTATGATCAACTTTTGAGCTTCTCTGAGTGATCAATAACATGAGATATTTGACCTTCGGGCATTAGTAGAGTTTATAGATTCTCACGTTATTCTGATGTGCATTCAGGTTTGGGAACCATTATGTAGTGTGATTAAAAAAAAACAGTGAATGTTTAATTTTTTTAAATTATGTTGAAAGTCACATTGCCCTTGTTCCCCCTGAATACTACCCCTTGCTTCAAACACACTTATCATTCTTGCCACTTTTTAAAGTAGTGCTGAAAGTCCTTTTTTGTGAGTGTCTTTAGTTACACTGTTGTGGCTGCCTCATTGCCCTAAATCAATTTAAAACATTCACCTTTCGAATTTGAGGAAGAGCCAGAAGTTGCACAGTGCCGGATCTGGTGAATAAGGTTGACGAAGAAACACCATGTTTTTACGAGCTTGCCTTTCTTTTGGATGACACTCAGCAGTGGCATTCACTGTATATTTTGATCACATTTGTATGTTACACCCTTCTGAGGCTCCTTATTATTTGTTAACGAGATAATACCTATCTTGTAATTTTTATGTGGATGCAAATTGCTATACACCCAGTTCCTGGCATATGATAAGTAATCATTAAATGAGAGCCAGTTGTTATTGATGGTGTTATTGTTGTCAGTGCCCAGAATTTTAAAAGCTTTTCAGCTTTCAGCTCAGTCTGGCCCTTTACCAAAAACCTTTCGGTTCATGAGGCATAGCCCTCTTTATTATAAGAGGGTCAAAACTATGAGCACCTTTGGTATTTCACCGTATGTTTAAATGAACAGCCTACGGAAATTTATTAACCTGATTTTCCCCCCTGTTTCTCAATAGGAAAATTTCTGGCAATGCCATGCTACAGTTGGGCCCCTTCTTATATTGGACATTTCTGGCTGCCTTTGAGGGGATGGTGTTCTTCTTTGGGACTTATTTTCTTTTTCAGACTGCATCTCTAGAAGAAAATGGAAAGGTAAAAAGAATGTCATTACATCTTTTGGTATTATAAGCATGGCTTTTTTCCATGGTCACCGGGTCTGTATTACACATGTTCTTGCTGTAATTTGCAAGCTATTTTTCTTAAGATATGGTATTTAGTTCTTACAGCTTCTTTAAAATAGTGTAGGTATCGAAGTAAGAAATTACTTCTTCTGCATGACTAATTAGAGAGCAGATGTTCAAACCTCTGGAAACTTTGGCTGTGATTTTACTGGTTGAACAGAGTTCTTGGAACTTCATACCTTGGACCCTTGCATTTTAATGTGAGAAATGCTTTTTCTGTCTTAATGAGAAGTCTGGCCCCATTTATTTCTTAATTATAGTGGCCCTCTGTGCTTGGAACTGAAGTGGGAAGTAACTATATTGTTTAAGTATACCAGGAGGTGAAGAGAAGGAATTCTTTTCTTTCCTTTCTTCTCTTCCAAATGGAGGCATAGTGTTCTCCAGAAAGGCTGCTCTGGTCTTGCCAGTGCCTTTCCAGCAAGTGCCCATATCAGTTAGCAGCTGCGTTGGGATGATTTTGTCCACGCTGTTCATGAGGGGCAGCCTCATGAAAATTCCTGTTAGGGAGTAGGAGAGGCCTCCTTCTTCCAGCCACACAAGGGAAACTGAACACACTTCCTTGCGTGCTGCTTTCACTATGTTTTCCTTTACCCATTTCTGGTTCTCCTGTTTTATGGTCATTCTTTGTAATCATAAAGTAAAGCAAAGCTAAGGTTCAAAGATAATTTCCTGAGTATAGTGACTATGTCTGGGACCTACACAGTTAGGCTTAGGGAATTACTAGGCTTAGGGAATTTGAATGCTACTTTGAAATTAGTTACTACAATCAAAACCTCTCTAACTTGGACTAACAGGTAGCAGTTTAGTATGAGTCATGAAAATTATTAATTACAAAGTAATTATTGGGGAAATGCAGATCTACCTGAAAGCAAATACATGTAATATTTGCCAAAGAGTATCCTGCTGAATCTTGAATGTCCTTGGGAAAGTCACATTGCCTTTCCAAGATGACTTCACCCATCAGTAAGAAGGGATTCAGATTTTTAATTTCCTGGGTCCCTTCATTCAGCTTAATAACTGATTCTGTAACTCACTTTTTATTTTCATGTTTAGCACATAAATTGTATATAGCTGGCTAGTACTTATAAAAAATTTGCTCTAGAGTAGGCATATACTCTCCCGCCGTCTAGGCAGCAAATGATAATGATTCATTTGTTCAGTAAACTTCTTAGGTGGTACATAAGAAGCATCAACCCAGCCTCCGTCTGATTATTTTGAGTTCAGGAAGTCCGCATTAATAAGGTTTTACTGTATATGTCACCATCCTTCTAAGTGTTTGCTAAAATTATAATAAATGTAAGAACTGTTAGCAACTAAACATAATGCCCATATATGGTTTGATTGAATCCTTCTTTTGCTTCTTTTAAACTTAATGTTTTGTTTTTATTTTTAAAAACCTTTTACACCTCATTTTCTGTCTTAATGTTATGCATTCAGATCCTGACAGCGTTTGGTAAGCATATGTGCCATTCATTGCCATCGTCTGGATTTATACACGTTAACTGCTTTTCTTTCATGTGCACACACAGACAGCTCTAGTATGTACAGTCAAAGAATTAGACTTATTTTTGAAATGTGAGTCTATTTATATACAGATCATTGCTTATGTGAGAGCTTTAGTTATATTACAGAAGAAAGCCTATCTCAAATTCTTTAGGGATGAATTTTCCAAATGACTTGTTCTGAAGAACATTGCTGTGAGTGGAATAGTTTTTGTTGTTGTTGTTTGTCTTTGCTTTTGGTTTGGTGTGCTTTGGTTTGGTGTTTTTTCCTGCCTTTATTTTAAAAAAAATTACTTCTCTGTTTGATGCTGCGTGGAATAATAGAAATAAACCCTACCAACCACAGGTTTTATGTACTTCTCGAAAACAATGCAGGGTCACAGGAAAATGCAGTACTGTGACCTGATCTTGCTGACCAAAAAACTTCCACAGTTATACACAGGATTAAACTTGGCTTTTTATATTCTTAAGCAGGCTTATGTATTTATGGTATATGTAATTGTTAAATGTTTTTCAGGTCTATGGAAACTGGACTTTCGGAACCATTGTTTTCACGGTCTTAGTATTCACTGTAACTCTGAAGGTTAGACTTATTTATTCAAATCTGTTTCAAAGCATTTTTGTATAATCCTAGTATGTTATTTTAGTCTGCTGATCTTTATTTTTGTTGCTCTTTTTTATTTAAGTCCTTGCTTGAATGCTTACTAAAAAGCATATGATGCTAAGACTTTGGACATTTATATATTCTTTGTGATCCATTTCTTTCTAATACATTGTCTATCCTCTCTATTTTGTTTTACTTTCTAAAAAACTCAAACACCAATCTGTTCCTTCTTCGGTTTTTAAGCGGTTTTGTGTTAAGTGGCATATAAACAGGCTGTGAGCTCGTGAGTGTGTATTGTGTATGTTTCCATGTTAAGTACTTGTCTTCTTTAAAATTGTGCATATGTTTAAGAACCCCTGGCCTAAAAATAATTTGAGTATTTAAGACAATGTAAATAGCTATCCATCAGCAAAATAAGTGTGCAAAAATGTTTGGTAATAATGAAATTTTGTAAAATGCATTGATCACTAAAATTTACCCCATTAGTGATGAAATACATATGGATATACAGCAGGTAATAGACAAGAAGTGTAATCTTGGAGAATCATTGGGATTGACCTGGCAGTCATGTAACAGTGCTGTAATAGTGCTGAATGCTACCCTTGACACTCATGAGTTGGGACTCCCTTACGGTTGAAAGCATAATCAAATTTTTGGACCATTCCAGAAATAAAGACCTAGCTTGATAGCCAGTAATGAATACCTCTGGATGAATTCCAGCATGCCCAGTGGTCAGAAACAGAATTTAGAAGTAGAATTTTCATAAGACCTTTGTTATCATTTTCTCTCAAAATTGTTGTTCCTGGCTCATTTTTCACAGCAAATAAAACTAACGTATGTTTCCATTGCTCATCTATTTCAGAAATATTATAAGACTTTAAAAGAAAATGTTATAATTTATCTCAGGTTAGCCAGTTAATAACTGTGTGTCCTTGGGCAAATGACTTCACTTGCTTGTGCTTCAGTTAGCTCTTTTGTAAAAGAGAGATAAAGTACAGGTAGTACCTTCTGCCTTGGAGTTCTTTGTGAGGAGTCAGCCAGTGAATGAATACACGTAAAGCACTATGAGTGCTGTCTGGCACATGGAATATGTTGATTATCATAAATGCTAGTTGTTACTTATTACTGATTGGAAATGGAAGTGTCCCTCCACTTCTTCTTTTCTCCTGGCGTGGCATATGAGCTCAGGTTTCCAGGTTCCCTTCATAGTCCAAGTTAGCCTTACTACAGCATATTTCATGCATTGCTCCTCTTTAGATGAGTATGATAACATTTTCACTTAATAGCCTGATGGATTACAATTCAAAAGTGGGTTTTATTCACAACGTTATTAGCATCCTCTTTATGAATGAGAACACATTTGAAATCCCCAGGTGCCACAGTCTGAAAACATGATCAGTGCTAACCATAACCTGAAGAAATTAAAGTCTAAACCAACTGAACATTTTATTAATGTAATGGAATACATAAAGGTTTTCCAATTGAAAAGACACCACATAGTCAGCCCCATGATCTGTTACTCATGATGTAAGAGGTTGACTTTATACTTAAGTGACTCTTCATCTGTTGTGTTTGAGCTTTCATGACATGTGCCTGTCCTTCCTAGCTACCTTTTCCCTCTCCTACTGCTTTTAGCATACCTGCCTTTAACAGCTTGGCCTTCTCCTTTTGCCTTCATCTCCCTAGCCACCACTGCCTGAGGACTAACTTGGTGCTCCAGCCTCCTGGATATCACCATTACCTCAGACCTTGCCTGTCACCCAGTCCTGAGGCAAGCACAACCCCACACCTATTAGGGCTTCACTTCACCACATCTCCCTGCCTGTGCTTTAGACGTCTTAATGTACAGCTTGGTTTCCTCACCTTAATTCTTTGAAAAGACTAGATTTTTTCGTTGTTTTAATTCCACTGTTTTCCAGATCCGTGGTTGCAGTTAGATCCTCTCATAGGTGTATAGTACAGTGTACAGGTTATAAGATACAGTCATGTATTACTTGGTGCAGTTTTTGTGCCCACCGTGAAATCTCCTGTGTTTTATATCTTTCAGCTTGCCTTGGATACTCGGTTCTGGACATGGATAAATCACTTTGTGATTTGGGGTTCTTTAGCCTTTTATGTATTTTTCTCATTCTTCTGGGGAGGAATTATTTGGTAAGCAGCTGTATCTGTGTAAGCAATATGTAAATATATATGTGTATGTACATTGTATATGTAAACATTCATTATATTTTAAAGCTTTGATTATATAAGATGGCAGCTCTTTAACACACTCACGACCGAGCTGTAATTCATGTTTCTCACCTCTGGGCAGCTCTGATTTAAATTCATTTGTCCCACCAGCTTGAAGCACTAGTGGTACATGCATGACTATCTGAAAAAATGGGTGCCACTCTTGCTGCAAAAAAAGCCAAATGGTGCTATGACATTTTGCACACTTTGCACAAATCAGGTACCTTTATGTATAAAATGTTTGAAGGAAATTCATGAATATAAATAAATTTATTTTAATTTAATGAAATCAGTTTCTTGAGGGGCCATGGATTTCACTCAGTGGTGCCGCCACCTTCTCAAGTGCAACGTTCTGAGTCTGATCCCTGGTACCAAAAAAAAATTGTTGATTATTATAATAATTCGAATTTGTATGAATAGTATTGATATTTATGTTTGAAAAGTAATTATTCAAATTCAAGCAACTATATTTGGTTCATTTATAGACTTTTTGTTAATTTTATTAGATAAAAGACCAATAAAAGCGTTTGTTAGTACCAGTGGTACAAGTGCCCTGATGGTACAGTCATGCACGTACGACCGAGTGGGTCTTGCTGGCAGGAATGTGTTAATGTTAAATGGACTAGAGGTTATTTATAGCTTGTGATGCTGCTAATTTCAAATACAGGGATACAGCCTACATGATTACTCAGAAGACCTCCCTTTAGTATCCTCTGTCCAAATCTTTCAATTTTTAAGGTGATAAACATCTCTCTGTGAAGTTAAACTGATTTCTAGCATGACCTCCCATGTGATTTTTCAGTAGAAACACTCATCCTTTGAAATTTCTACCTAATATGTGTGCCAGTACATACATTATTATCCATTTGGACTTTATTCTTTGAAGAATACAATCATCCATCAGTATGCTCAAGTCCCTTATGTGTAAAGTGGCATAATATGTGTAGCCTTTGAATTAAGGACATCGAGGCATCCAGGATAGCATAACTAAAGACACGAAAGAGGACTTCCAGATGGGCTTTTAGAAAGAATAGTGTGATAAGTTTGTTCCAAGTGAGGGGGAATATTTTTAGGTGGATCAATGGCAATGTGTCTTTCTCGTAATGAATTATTCTAATTGAAACACTTTGTTTCAGTCACACCACATAATACAGTTAATATCTATAAGTAACAAACTTCTTTTTTTGTATATTTGTTATTACATCCTTTGTGAAAAAGGGAACATAACCTGCAGGGCTCAGGTTGGATATGCCTGTATTGTGTCACCATAGAACATGCCCTCTGTCACAGAGTCACATACAGTGGTGGACGGACACCTGAGCTGTGCTTACGGGAGTAAACAGTAGGATTCACATCTCCTTTTCTTACTTCCAAAGCCTATGTTTTGTTTTTAAAATGTCAAAATTGTTTTCATTAATCCCTTTATAAGGATGATAGGAACATTGTTAAAGTGAGCTGTGGGGTGAGATTCCAAGATGATGTATTCTCACTGCTTTAAGGAAACTCTTGCATACATATAAAACATTTTTATCACAGAGATAGGAAGATGGTGGTTAGGTTCCTTGGTATTTACTTAAAAGAAATTGTGTTTTGAAAAGCTTTTTTTTTTAACTAAATGTTTTAAGAAATAAAAATCCGAAAAACCTAATCACTTTAAGGAAGTATCAACTCCAAATTGAATAATTATGGCATATATGTAGCCCCTCTATAGGTAATGATTGAAAGCAGCAAAACTGAAGAAATAATAATATAAAATGACTCAAAGTTGATAGCCAAATGCAATATACAGTTGTGTCTGCCAACATTACTATAATGAATCTGTATAGTCAACATCTGAACATTATACATTTCCATAAGAATAAAATATTTCTAGCAGTGCAAACAAGTTTCTAACTATTTCTATAGGTGATTCCTTATTGATTAAAATAAATACTTTAATGATTAAAACATTGTCATTTGTTTATGTTAGTGATGCTTACTAAAAATTAAATTCAGTAGTTCTCTCTTAACCATGATTTTACTTTTGGAGGTTTTAGTTATCCTCAGTCCCAAAATCATAAATGGAAAATTCTAAAATTAAGCAATTCCTAAGTTTTAAATTGCACACCGTTCTGAGTAGTGTGATGAAATCTCATGCTGCCCAAGTCCTACCACACACATTAATCATACCTTTGTCTAGTATATCCAAGCTGTGTAGACCACTTGCCCATTGCCATCCCTTATCAAATCAGCTGTCATGGTATCACAGTGCTTACGTGCGAGTAACCCTTATTCTACTTAGTAATGGGTCCCCCAGCACAAGCGTGATGATGATGGCAACTTCACTGCAATGAATTGTTATAATATTGTTAGTTATTGCTAATCTTTTCCTGTACCTACTTTATAAATTAAACTTTTATTATAAGTGTGTATTTTGGAAAAAGCACAGTAAACAGAATTTGATAGATTTAGGCATCCACTGGGGATCTTGGAACACGTTCCTCACGGATAAAGGGGGGATAAATCTATTTTTTATTTTGTTGCCTGAAATGCAGGCCTTAGGAAGTGTTAGCCTAGAAACAATGCAAAAATTAAGCTGAATGCTCATTGTAAATGATGTCTCTGGAAATATTTTACTCTGAGGCATTGAGATACCCTCTTTTCACGATGGCAGTGAGAATGATGTTGCCTAAACCCAGAATAGTACTGTTTGTTTTTTACTGCCTTGTTGCAAAGCCTCACAGATGACATGGAGTTAAAGCATAAACCGGAGATATTAATGAGACAGTATCATCATTATAGTGCAAAGGAACACCAACGGGCTAGCTGTCACTTGCCTTTAGACCTTTGGTATGGCTCAGTTAACTGCCTAGGAAATATTCAAGCTGCTTTTCAGAATTAGAATGGGATAGATTTCTGCAGAGATCTTTCCTGTTGACTTTCCTAAAAAGCCCAGGCCTCAGAAGTTTCTCTACCTCACAGTTGTGCTCACTTTTATTCAGTCTAGTCCCATACATGTAGAGCCACAAGCTTGATTTTATTGAGTTACATATGGGGCCACAAATGTAAATTTTTAAATAAGATTTACCTTCAAGCGTGATCCATGATCCATGGCCCAATAAACAGGACTTTTCATTCTAGTGAAGCCTGATGTGCATCCTGACCTTCAGCAGCCACTTCTCCCTCAGTTTAGAACAATAGTGAGTTAGCCCAGGCGAGCTCTCTGTGGTTCTGTTTAGAGGTGGGAAGCGAGAATGGCTGTGCTTCTCAATGGCCACTTCAGAATTCAGTGAGTAAGTGGGAATGAATTCTAGCTTCATTTTATAAATGTTTAAAATTTATTATAGTAAAGGCTATTAATCTCCCTCAAAGGAAGTCTAACTTCAGAATGAGGAACCCTCCTGGATTTCTTGATTCCAAGATTTACTGTCTGTCAACCTATTTGGCATACACCCTTACTTAGTATGTATTTGCAGATGAAAATGGTAGATTCATCTCATTGCTAAGAGATTATGAGCGCTCTCTGGGCCCTTTTATATTTACGTAGGATTCATTTTAGGGGAAGTGGTTATAAAAATGCCTTTTAAATTTAGGAAGAGAGTGCAAATCTTGTATTAATAAGACAGCTGAGGAAATGCTTATTAAGATAAAAATTAACCATCTTTTCTCTTGTATATCTTTAAAGCTCCAGCATTTTAATATACATAAATAATGCAGCAGTTGGCAGCTTTATCATTGATTGTCTTATTGTTTTTGAAAGATGGATTTTGTTATTTTTCCCCTTTGATTCTCATTCCTTTTCTCCAAACATTTGGTAAATGAAATTTGTTTATTCCTTTTAGGACATTCTAAAGAAAATTATATTGACATATGTAAGGAAGATTTTTAATATAAAAAAGTTTCAATTAAATGTATTTTTCAGATGACAGGAACTGATTATCTTCCCATTATGTGTTTTCTTTTTATTCCAGGCCTTTTCTTAAACAACAGAGAATGTATTTTGTATTTGCTCAAATGCTGTCTTCTGTATCCACATGGTTGGCCATAATTCTTCTTATATTTATTAGCCTTTTCCCTGAGATTCTCCTGATAGTATTAAAGAATGTAAGAAGAAGAAGTGCCAGGGTAAGAATTAAGTTTATGTTATAATCTAATTTTTGGAACGGGATTCAGTATCTGCCGTGAACTGAAAGCCTCGTTTAGAGAAATGCATTAGTTACAGCATGTTAAACCCCTCCTTACAGGTTCATCACTTAATTTCCTCTTCTGCATAAAAAGTATAGTAAAAACTTCGTTATCCATTGCAGGTGGTAAGTAGATTCCTTAATAGTGTTCTATGTGACCTTTAGCAATCCATATGGAGTATCTCATATACTCCATATGGAATTTTCAAAGGAAAAATTATTTTATTTTGTATTTAGCCCAGAATTTTTACACCAGGAATTTCCACACCAACATTTCAGCTTGAACCTTAGAAATTTCCCTGTGCGCTGTTTGCAGATTTTTCTTTTCAGTTGATAATCCCAATTTGCTTTTTTCAAACTTTTCCCCTTCCTTTAATTATAGTGCTGCTTAATCTCTGTGTTGCTTCTAGCCCTGTCTGTACAACAGTATATTTGAACCAAAGACAGTTCCTTGGATGTGATTTCTACATCCTTTCCATTCTAAATATACTTGTAAAAATTCAGGATTTTTTTTTTACTCTTTATTTTAATCTTTTAAAATTATAAATTTCCCATGGGAATTAGTAGTTACTTCCCTCTTTTACATTATCTGGTATCTTTTGAACATTTTTTAAAAAGCCATTAAAGTGAAAGGGGTAGATTACCCTGGAAAATAAAACTTCTGGCACATCTGACCAACAGGTAAATTAAATGTGTCATATTCCTGCCAGTACTAGCTTACTTTGCTAAAACAAAACCCTCTTCCTTTCACCAACTAGACCTTTTAACCCCTCCAAAGCAGTATGTTCAGGAAATTGTCTAAGCCATGACTATTAGATAGATGTATTTGATCAAACTTGCCAACCAGTTTATTTAGTCGTGAAACTGGTATGTTATGGTTTTTTGTCTGTCGAATTAATAGAACCCAGTGCTTGATATTACACAGACATGAACATCTGAAATTATTACAGTAGGAAATTTTTAAAGTAATTAAAAGTGTAAAAGAGAAACTACATGTTGCAAGTCAGTGTTAGCCTCGTTCAAAAGTAATGAAACTATCAGTGTATAAGCTACATTGATTGTTCATATACAAGGCCAGTCAGTGTATAGGTAGGTGATCAGAATTGCACTGAACTGCCTGCTTCTGTTTGCATTATAGGCTGGAACTGGACACAATAACTTTAGCCTAAGACTGTGTTAGTTCACTTTTTAGTCCTTCTTGCAGGCCTCTAACACCCTCTATCCTGGTTTTTAGTTTTAAGATGGAAAAGTGGTATTTAATCATCTGATTATATCTTAATTATCAGTTGAACAGGTTGACAGAGCAAGTTTTTCTCAGACTTACTCAAGTGACAATTTACTTGAACATGAAGCCAAATAAATGTTTTAGTAAGAAATAGCTTGGTACCTTTGTATAATGGAAAATTTGTAAAGGTGCATCCCTGAGTGGCTCTTCCATTCTCTTTATTTTGGGAGTTCACTTTGGGGTGTTCCTAAATGTTTTCTGATTCGGAATAATGAAGCTTGTGTTAAGTAATGGTTCACACCAGCTTCTTGCTCTAAAGATGATAAAGTTTCTAAAAGCAAAACCTTCAAACATACCTTCTTACTTAGGCCTTCTCTTAAAAAATTAGATATGTTTAGAAGTGACATTTTATATAGATCATTGGATGGATGGTACCAGGAGATCACACATAAATATTTAAAGCATTTTCTTTCCATGCAAACAGCAGATTCCAAACTTCTGCTGAAAGTAGGGAGTTCTAGCAGCCCTTTTTACTTCGCGGCATTGAATGCTGCCAGCATCAAATTTGTCATGGGTTATTTCCATGATGGGAGAAATTCTATTCATTGTGCTGTAGCTTGCATGCTAATGTGCTAGAACAACCAGGAATTTTTTCATAACCATTTTCATTCTTTCAATCATTCATTCATTTATTCCTACCCTACCTGAAACAATAGACATTTGTTGAACCGCCTACTGATGAACATCTCTCTTTATATCCAATGTCTGAAAGACTAAATGATTTTTCAGACTGTGTGGGATTTTGAGAGTTGTAAATGAGGCACAACAGTTATCAGCACTCAGCAGTGCTGCTCTTTTTTATGTGTGAAAAAATGCAAGAGCAAAGTAGTGTGTATGAATGCATAAAGGCCACCTGAAACATGGCAGCCACGGCTATTCTCATGAAGTCACATACACAGTATTTAAATACTGCCCTAATTGGCCATATCAAAAAACGAATGGGGAATCTAACTTTCTCCAAAATCATGTTTCTGTTTAGTGACCAAAGGTCTGACATCATGAATGACTTCCTGTTTTGTTCAGTATTCCTTGCTAAGGTATTGGCTTCATTTTATAGAGGCAAAAGATGTTTTTGTGCATGGTGTGCATCATCCCCTGGCAGCCTCCAAGTGGGGTAAAGCACATGTCCCTGTCCATAGTAGAAGATGCCCCTGACTTCAGCCAGTCAACATCCTGGCCGCTATTCATGCAGCCAGACGTTACTATGGCAGCTAGACTGCCAGTGCTATCTTCATGTGGGTCTTGGCCCCTATTTGAAAAGGGCACTTAGCAGTACATAGTGAAAGTGACTGTATGCCATTTGAGAAAGAAGCCAAACCATTTATAATTAACAAGTATAAAAGCCACTTTATGTCGAATTCAATTCAATGCACCATACATTGCCCCAGGGCCCACTATGAGGTGGCTACTGTAGTAGGTGCTAGTAATTCAGGGGTGAGTCAAGCATGGCCCCAGCTCACAAGGTCTCCTCTAGTTAAGCTACGAAGAGCATTCATATGGAACCCTTCTGTATGCAGGTATAAGACAGAATAGTAGAATCAATTATGTGGCTTGTTATACTATAACTGAGCTATTTCAGGGTCCAAATCATTACCTGCTGAGAAGACTAGCAGCCTCCAGCACTACTGAGATCTGTCAGTGATGGTTACATTATAAGGAATGTTGTCTTTAAATGCAGGCTTAGTTGTTTAACTCAAGGGTTGTAGTTTAGCATTTATTTCCCAGCTAAATTCTCAGCAAAGCCCCATTTTTTATAACCATAGAGCTTTTCTTTAATTTTTAAAGTGACAAAGCTGCATAACCATGTTGCTGACAGTGTATAAGAAAACTACCATTGGGCATTGAAGAGTGAAATAGCAAGATGATACTTCAAAGGGAGTCTAAAGTTTAAGATGTTTGGTATTTCAAAAAGCTATGTGCCCTTTAAGTACAGTTGTTGCCTGTCTGTAAATCATTGAAATACATCTGGACCTTCCAGCCAAGTAGTAAATACCATTTCATGTTTATAGTGGGGGAATTTTCCAGAAGTCTTTATATAGTTTTTTCTCATATAAACTACCACAATAAAAAAGGGAGGCTTGATTTTTTTGCCTGCCAGACATGGGAAGGCTAATCTAAGGGAATGCAGCCAGCAACATGTCAGTGCCCAGCATGGGATGTCTGTGCAAACAGAAGTATTCCATTATGTGGGAAAGCACTTTCCGAGGAGAAGAGAAAGGAAGAATGTCAGCTGTCTGAGTAATGTTACTGGAGAAGGCACTTAGAAATTTTGGAGAATACAGCTTATTATTTCATTAATAATGGAAATGATAACTATTATTGCAGTACTTACAGTATCATATACAACCATAGTTTCAGAGGACAATCGTCCTGTGATCTGGATTAGACAAAAATAAAGTTGAATCTAACGTCATGGCTGTTAAGATGGACCTTTATCCATTGACCTCTTTGACATACTGCTAATTGAGCTGGTGTCAAAGCTCTCTAGAGGACTGCAAAGAAATGTGGAAATTCCATATTGTTTTAGTTCATTATTTCCTATCCTCATGACCCCTCAGTACCAATTACTGATTGTATCAATTTGTTATTGCTTTAGATACTCTGTGCTTTCTATTGCTTTCTGTACTTTCCTATTTTCTTTTTTTTCCTTTATAAAACAGTTTAACACCTAATCTGTTAACTCCTAAAATTTCAACTTCTTAGAATACTTTTTACCTCTGATGGTTGGATACAAGTTTTTGAGCACACCAACATTGTACTTATAGTTGCAGTCTTAAATAGATAAGCTTGTACATTAAACACAAGGGTTGGGGACTTGATATCTTGTTAGTCTTGTTGCAGGGTTTTTACCCACAAAACAGAAGATAGAAGCAATTCAGATTTTTTTTCAGAAACTAAAATTTTTAATTCTCTAACTTTATGAATTGGTAATTTGCATGTTACCAGCATGTTAGCACCTTTCTTCCTTTGAGGTAAAAAAAAAATAGGAAAAGTGTAGTTGTGTCAAAACATGAATAAATGGAAATATATGCCTTTACAAGTCTGTTTAGTAGATTCTGGCAGACACATATTACTTTAGCTGTTTTGTTTCCCCTAAGGTTATTTTCCTTGGTCACTAAGAAGGTAAGAGGGAGAGTCTTGATCAATAGAGTTGTTCAACTCATCTCCACTGCTCCCCACCATCATTCTATTTTCTTTGGGCATTGCCAAAACCAAGTCTAAATTCCCATGCAATTTTAGGCAGAAAGTACCAAGGAAACAATAATGTCTTCGGTTTTCTACTTAAACTTTATCAATTTGAATTTTTCTGGGTGTCTTAAAGGAACAATTTAGACTTTACCTAAGGAAAATTGAGCTTACCTTTCTAAAGAGGTCTTTGTAATGAAAAATGGAGACATTAATTGAATTATGTAAAAGAGAGGAAGTTAAACATTAGTGTAGAGGAAAATGGGGCTTTGGTGTCATCAAGTTTCCCCATTATTTAACCATCATTAGATTTTTAAGCTGCAGCTGCCCAGTCCCTTCATAGAGTATCTGAGGGATTAGATAGGGGAGATAGTTACCAATCAAGGTTTTGGTAATTGATAATCTGAACATAGCTCTCTGACCAGTAGATTTTGAACAAATATAAGGTATTGAATTGATTAGAGTTAAGAGTTACTTAACGAAAGGCATATTTCAGAATTATTTTATCAAAACTACTACATTTCCATTAACAAAATAATTTTAAATTGACATACAAAGAAATAGTGGTTGGCTCATAGAATATACTATTCCTAATTCTGATTCTGCTTTCACTTTAGGAAGTAACGTCTTCAAAATTAACATGTCATTTCTACTTCCCAATCTCAAGGTTTCTTTTCAAATGTCTTACATCTAAGATAATATTTACTTTTTCTTTCTTTCTTTCTTTCTTTTTTGGTTTCTGCATTTCTCTTTTTTCTACTGCAATTTTCCACCTTTTGTGCAATTGTGAACAAGGTAACGAAACGCCTCCCTTCCTCAGGAACATCTACTATCTTCATGCTTTCTCAAACTTCCAGCAATCACAGTTTCTCTTGGAGTGAATAAGGTGATTTCCTTTCTTAATGTACCAACTTGCTTGCATTCTCATTTGCCTGACACCATTTTCTAATTCTTTATGAAATTTTACTTCTCATAATTCATTTTTATATCTTCTATTAATACTTACAGTATTTTGTCATTTCTTGTAAACATTTGTTCACCTTCTAAATTGTCACATTGGAGAGGAAGTAATCTTCAAAAATTTGGACTTTAAATCATTGATCCAGCTATACAGTACTAGCATGATGTGTTAGAGCTAGTCTGTTCACCAGGACAGGGATGTTTTCTACAAATTTATATTTGACATACTCATAGCACCAGCACAACTCTCAGAGGTGTTCACCAAAAGGATGGTAAGGTTTACTAATCAAATCATATTGACTCATCTTACCATATAACCTACCAGTGCCATTTCAAAAACTCAGGTTTGCCGCATACTACTTATGTCTACTTCTGCCATGAGAACAGATAATTTGAGTTGGAGATTTCCTTAGGCCTTTAATTGTATTCATTTGAATGTTATGCATTTGCTATGTAGTGTAATCATTTGTACATTTGGCCAGAAGAGTAGTCCATAGGGTATGATTTTTTTCTACTACATTTTTATCACCAGGTAGGTTAACCAAATCTTCAAATGCTTTAAGTATCTTTGCCTCATTATTACAGAGAAATCAGAACTGTAGAAGGGCATCTGACTCATTATCCACCAGACCTTCAGTCAGACCTCTTCTTTTACGAACATTCTCAGACGAATCTAATGTATTGTAACAGGTACCTAGTGTTAAACAAGTGGGCTGGCTTTAAAGAAACAGATTAACAGCATTATAAAGAAAAATGAAAATATCACTCTAAATTTTGTCTGCTGTTGGTGTGGTGAACTTTATACTATTCTTTGCAAAAATATAAAGATGCATTACTTGGAATATGGGGAAATATTTTAAATTTACTAAACCCTTTAATAAAATTTTAGGCATTTTTCAGAGCAGAATGATATTGCAGTATATTTATAAAGGGCAAGCTGTTATGGTAATGCCATCACATGAAAATGCCCATTGATACTAAATCAGGAAATATATTTTGATTCATAAAGATCATTTGGAAAATTGAAAATAAATATTCCAAAATTGCATCTGTATAACATTAAGTCAGTTTAGCATTGCATGTTCTTCCGGGAATTATGTGAAAATAATCAAATGTGTTTGTACTTTCACGTGCTGTGTCTGTGTGTTTGCAGGTATACACTTAATGTCCTTGTAAATGTCTGATCCCCAAATATATGTTAATGAACCTAATCATAAATTTTTTAATGTCAAGTTTTATTCAAGCTAAATGTTTCAACTCTCAGAGGTAAAGTCTTTCTTAGCCATTCAGGGGGATGCATGCCTAGTGATATAAAATACTTCATAATTCAAGTTTGTAAAAAGGAGTAAATTTGTTTTATGACATGATTTCATTTGCCCCCAAAAATATTTGAGAAGAGTTGATATTCTATGGGAAGAACCCTTGAACCCAGAAGCGCTCCTTTATTCGCACTCTATTTATTTGCTACTGCAGAGGCCTCTGGAACCCCTGATATTTATAGGTCTTTTATCCATCCATGGGAATTCACAGTAATGCATGAATGAGGCTTACAAGCATGTCAGCTTGTGAACAATTCAATTTATACAGCTGGCAGTAGGGCCATCTTTCATACACACACAAAAATAATTATTGTAAATCGTGGGCCCATTTTGAAGCTAATGATTACAATTGAGTCTACCTCATAGGCCCATTTTTTTGATCAGCTAATACCCTCTCCTGTAGCAAAGAATGACAATTAAACAAAAGTATTAAATCTGTTGGTTCTTTTACCTCCTGCAGTTCACCAGTCTGTGTCTGCAGTGTTATTTTGGAAACAAACTCCTTTTGCTTCAGTCATCATTGTTTTACCCAGTTTTATACTCACCTGCATGTGGTTTCCCTCAGAAATGAATCTAACTTTACAGTAGCCTTCAAAGCTGTTGACCCTTTTGTCCCAGATTGCTTGTCTGGGCTGTCTGGTACATTTTAGCTCTACTGTTACCAACTACTTTTGTATCCCCCTGGATTGCTTTCTTTAGCTTGGTCTGTGGTTGGGGACTGGGCTGGATAGCAGACACTGCTGATGCTTTTGGCCTCTCTAGAGCCTTAACTCCTACAATGTCTAAGATAAAATGAAGTTTTCTGAAAGAAAAGAGTTATTTTAATGTAGTTCCCCCCCCAAGAATAGTGTTTCACCTGGCATTATTTTTCCTCCAAGGAAAATATTTGACAGTTTATCAAAATTTGAGTTTGTTCCTTGGTTAGTGAGAATATAAATATTTGACTCCTTTCATTGGTTCTCAGTGTGAATGGCAGCCTTGTTTTGTTTAGTCACCATGAACCTGCAGAGCTACCTGAAGGCCTAATAGGGAGTCTAGGGATGGTGGAACATAGTAGAAATGGAGGTCATTCTAATGGACTTGTAGAACAACTGTGGCAGGAAAGGTGTCCCAGAATGAGAAGAAAATAGTCCTTGCCTTAAGGCTTCGACCATGTGTATTAAAAAATCTGGAGTTTAGAGTGAAGAGTCAAAGTTCAATTCTCTCCTTCGATGTGTGACCTCTATTTCTCAATATACCTAAATTACACTTTGTGATCAGTTTGTCCATCCTGCCCCATCCTGAGCATAGCATGTGATGATGTGTAGAGAACAGAGAAGATTGTATAGATTTATTAGGGAAATTTCTGCAAGCTCTATGCTAAATAGATGATACATGAGAGAAACATTAAAGTCAGTTGACTTATAGTACATGATCTACCAAAAATAAAAATAACGTCAGTAGTTTGGTGAGGGGGCGTGCTTCTTTCAGTAAAGGGAGAATATTTTTACAGAAATTTTCCAAAACTGAATACATCTTCAGATTTCCTCTATCAAAATTCACACTTCCAAAAAAAAAAAAAAAACATTCACTATTTCCTGAGCATCTGCTATGAGCCAGACATTGTACTAGCTGATAGCGATTGAGTGATTAAATAAAATGTCCTTGTTTTCAAGAAGCCCCCGGTCTACGAGAAGGATCCCAGTGGTAAAAACTATTCAGGAGAACCCTGGAGCAATCCAAAAGCAAAAAGCAATCCTCAATCTATTCAGCTAACAAATGAAGAAAGGATTTAAGTCTGGTGATTGTGTCACTTTTCCCTCCTGCATGTGAATAAAACTTGGCACTTAGTTAAAACAGTTGCTTTACTTTCGTCGCAAAATTTACTACTTGATTTATTTTTGAAAATGCTAAACAGATGGTTTTATATTATTATTAAAATAAGCCTGATAATTCTCTGTATTTTGAATTTTTCAGAATCCGAATCTTGAACTGCCTATGTTATTGTCCTACAAGCATATTGACAGTGGTTACAGCTAAAACAGAAAGCATGAAGAAACAGCTACAAAAAATTATCGTCTCAGGATTCTTGATATGCAACAAAAACTAAATCACTCTTTTATGTTTAGGGTTCAGAATAAATGCCAATTGAAATTCTAAATGATTACCCTAAGCATTTCCAGTTACTGCAAGTAGCCATTATGGCCAAAGCTGTGAGTTAAGAATTATATGAAAGTTGAAAGCAAGAGTACTTAGATTTCTGGCTTTTGATAGTAAAATGTAACTACCAAGTGGATCCCCTTTTAACCCATTAACTTTGTGAATCGATTTCAACACAATAGTATAAAGTAGCAGTCATACAATGGAAATGAACAGTTTTTACTAATACAGTGTTACTCTTTTTTGCTTGGCAAAAGACATAGGCTGGATCACATTTCTTGTTCCTGCTGAATGTTCATCTTAAATTATTTTTTAAGCACACAAATGGAGTACTTGAAAATACAGGACTAAAAATAGTGTCAGTGCATCAGACAGAATAGTTCTTCCTTTCTGTTCACCCACATAGTAATTATGCCTTGGTAAACTGTCCTTGCCAGAAAGTACCTTGAACACTTCTGTGGAAAGTATTAACTCTGGGTATGACTGTGGGAACAAAAAGATGTTTGTTTTTGTTCTTTTGAATTGAACACCACTTATAGGTGTAAGGCTACTAGACTTGAAAGTAAAGCATAAAACAGTCACTTAATAGACCCTCAATATAGGGAATAAACAGATTTTCCCAGAGTCAGTTTTACTGCCCTATGAGGTAAGGTGCATAATGACTGTATTTGTCCCAAAATAAAGCCATTCTGAACATCAGCCTTTTATAATTTTATGTGGAGAGGAGGCAAAGCATAGTTTATTTTAAACTATTAACAGTTTTTATTTGAAAGAGTTTGCATTTTTGCATATATGCAGCACTTTGTTTTTTCCTATTTGGGAAGAAAGATCTATCCCAACATGGTTCAGCTTGTAGAGCCATGGCTACAAATGCTGTCTCTCGTAGCTAATGTAGCCGGAGCAGCGGTCTAATTCTAAACCATGTGATTGACCTCAGGAAGGTCCTTAAGCTGGTGGACTAGAACGAGATTTTCACTTCTTAATGAGTTCACTTAAAATAGGAAACTAAATGTGAAATGTCTTTATTCAATGTTAAAATTATATACCTTTTTAAAATAGAAGTGAGCACATTTGACTGCTAGATTAGAGGGGTCTTTAACAAATATTTTAATTACCACTTTCTATTTTTGTCTTTTTGGCATGCCTGTACTACTATTAATGTTTATATTGTACACTGATTTGGAAAAAGTGCTAGATTCAATCTGTACCAATATATATAGTCCACATGGCACATTTGATTCTTCCATCTGTATATATTTTGTTAATGCTTAGATGTAATTTTTCTTAAATCTCAAAAGGACATAATTTCAGTTATCAGAAACCATCCCATCATTCCTGATCCCTTTTTGTTATTTAATTTGTTCTCATCTATCAGTATTATTTTTGCATTTTTTGTTAGATGTCATTCACAGCTTACCTAAGTGCTGTGTTCTAGTAGCCTATATTTGAGGTGATCTGCTGAAGACAAAGTCTTTATATTTTTTTGCCTATTCCAAAGAGCTAAAAAATAATCCAGGAAAGTTGTTGATGATGTTGTTGTTGTTGTTGTTCGTTGTTGTTGTTGTTTTTATGGTTACTGTTGCCATGTTGTTGTTTTACATAACTCCAGGGACTGTGAATATAAATAAGAGAGCCACGCTAGAGAGGCTTATTTAATGCAGAACCACTAAAGAGTTGCCATAATCAGAATATCCAGGATGTTACAGGTAAAACTAGTTGCATGTAAAATATTTTACAGCCAGAAAGAAACTTGGAGGAGTAAAGGGGATTTCGAGTCATGTCTCAGCTACACATTACACTGTGCACTGCAACTCAAATTCTGAGTAGCATTGATGTGTATGATGTGTAACATCACTGCCTAGATCCTTGCTAGGGACTTTGATTTTCGTTTTGAAAGATATTTTTATTAATGAGCTAAAATGAAATTGGCTGGCATGGGGTTAACAAGTGAAATAACTTGAAATAAGCCATTCCAGTATTCCTAGCACTACAACATAACCACCCTATTTTGTGACAGAGGAGAGAAAATTAATAATAGGACCAGATGCTCAATAAGTTTGAGCTATCAGAATGTCCTTATAATTTTCACATCTATTGTCCATTGTTTGAGGATGTTACCTATTAAACTGAAAATATTCATTCTGTATCTACTACATATACACCAGCAACCGTATAAATGTAAGCCTAAATTTGCAAAATTCATAATTAGTCATGGAATTTTTAAATAACACGCAGTATACAAATGTGCAGATTTTATGCAAATGTTGACAAAATCATTTTTCAGCTTGCAAAATGGAACTGCAATATTACATTTTTCACTTCAGCAATTTTTTACATCTCTGTTACTGCTTTTAAAATGAATGTGAATGCCATCTTTTATGAATGCAACTTGCCTCTTTCATTACAAAAATTTTTGTTTGATGTAATCAATAAACTTTGGTATGATATGATTGATACTTTAGCGTCTTTGGGGGAAAGGTCTCAGTTGGACATCAAAATAGTGTGGGAAATCACCTTAGTGATGGGAAATAAGTTTCTAGTTTCCTCTTTGCATGTACAGTTTACAGATGATTAACCCTTTGTACATTTATTTCAACTGGCATTTTAGGCTGATATCTAAGAGATGGTAAAATATTTCTGGTTGTTTTTAATAAGAAACCCTATCTTTTCAATGCATAAATAAAAGTCCAGCCAGGGTCCTGACATGTAGCTCAACAGTAGAGTGTATTCCTACAATGTACAAAGTCCCGGGTTTGATTTCCCCAGCACTTAAAGAAATCCAGTAAGAACAACAAATGCATATTGTAATTTTATTGTGTACTTAGCGGTGTACTTGCTGCTGCCCTCATGGTCAAGGTAGTTTGATGTTTAGTCTGTCTCCATCCCACTGAAAGCATTCTTAAGTAGCCAAACATGAGATTTGACAGTGGCTTGAAATGTAGTTGAAAGGTGTATAGACATACCTTCCCCTGGGGCCTTGTGAAAGCTCCTTATTTTTAAAAATCCTGCTGTCCTTGTCTGTGAAGAAACCAAAGTTGCTCCACTAATGCTGCATTGCATTTTTACACTTCAGTATGTGTTTTGATAAACTTTTGATCCTTTGTCTTTGAGGTTCTATTTAGTGTATATATAATTTTTATTTTGGGTTTTTTTTTTTTTGGTCATTTTTGTTAGGTGGAGAATGTGCTGTATTCAGACTGAAGACCTAAATTGAAGCTTCAGCTTTACTATTTAAAGCCATTCCCCTGTCTGCCTGTTCTCTTCCCACCTATCAAATGATGTCAGGGGTGGTGTCCAGTGAGGTAAAGGATCAAAGTTGCTTTGTAAAATGTCATATGCTATTCAGAAGTGAGCACTGTTATTTAAGATTTCTTTTTATTACTTTGACTTTTTAATAAGCAGCTGTCATCTAGCAAATTGCCACAGGTATGTCTTACATGCTTTCTAGCTTCTGGGAATCAGTCTCTTCAGGCTTCCTTCCCTTCCCCCATCCAGCCCGAGTTCTGTCTGCCTAGATTACCCAATACAGTCAGTGTTGAGAAGGTATCAGTGGTTTGGCCTCTTCAACAAGAAGCATGTAAAAATGTTAGGGGCTGAGGTTATGATTATTCATTGAGTGCATCTGTGGGTAAAGTGCTGGGTGCATATTGCATACAAATAAAAGCAGAAGGCCAGAGTTCTAGGAATAGTCAGAAAAAAGGAGACTTAATTATTGTAGAAGTTTTTAATCAAACTCACTGTCCAGCATCTAATAATGGGCAAGGATATGGAGGTTCCATGCCTAGTACTATGATCAAGCAAATCCTGATCTCGTGGGCCTTGGAAGAAAGTGCAGTAAGCAACAGTGCTTGGGGTAGGCCAAAATTCTGTCACCAAGTCTGGCCCTGGCCTTTTCCAGGAATAAGCAAAGAATGTACATGGCTATAATACTTGCTGTTTTTATCTCTTCATCAATTGCTCATATTAGCAAACACTGTACAGCACTTAGCATGTATTCCTTATATTCACCATACCGTATTCACTGTGTGTGTGTGTGTGTGTGTGTGTGTGTGTGGATTTGGACACGGCCTTTGCACTGAGTTACATCCCTTAGCCCCCTTTTAAAATGTGGAGACGGTGTCTTACTAAGTTGGACGCAAACTTGTGATCTCCCTGCCTCAGCCTCCAAGAGTGCTGGGATTACAGATGTGCACCACCATGTCCAGTGCACTCCTTTAATAATCCCAACAACCCTAGGAGATGGGTAGTGATATTCCTCTGAGAGATGAGGAAACTCGACCACAAAACCCAAGGTCATTCAGCCTGGTAGAGCTGTATTTTGAACCCGGGTATTCTGACTAGAGTCTTTGCCTTCACTAGGACAATATATTCCCATTGTTATACCCTCTTGAGTACACCACCAAAATATTAACCATGAGAAAACATCAAAGTGAACAATATTTTTGCACGATAACTGGTTTATAATTAGCAAGATCATGAAAAGACCAAGACTGAGTGACTGTCACAAGACCGTGATAATAGTATAGCACGTGATCTTCAATTGGATCCAGGATCAGAATTTGAGCATTGGTGGGATAGTTAGGAAAGTTTGACTACAGCTTTTAGAATTTTTAACATTACATAGTTAACATCAGTATTAATTTTCTGATACTTGAAGCTAGGCTGTAATTTCCTGATGTTATATATTGGGGAATCTGGAATATAACATAGGAATTCTGTACTATTTTTGCAACTTAATTCAAATTATTTCACAATTACTAGTTAAAACAGGGCCGGGGATTTATCTCTGTGGACCCATGTCTGCCTTGCAAGCACAAAGTCCCGAGTTTGATCCCTG